AACCTTGGCCCTTTGTGCGGGAACCAAGTACGAGAACCATTCGGCCACGGGCGCGCTTGCTCGGAGACGTGCGGGGAAATATGTGCTAGTGCAGGCACTTGGGCTAAGCCTAGGCAGAAGTTTAAACCGTCAAGTGATGATGACAAAGTTTGTCCGTGTTTGTCCAGTTCAGTACGCAGAAAATATTGCTCTGTGTGGTGGCGAGAACCATGTGCTACTTACTCTCAACTGTGACAGATTGTGATATCTAGCCAAAAGTGGAGGACGTGAATACCTGAGTGCAAAAAATGAAGAGAAGTATACAAAACTGCACGCCGATGATTTTGCCGAGTTCGACAGGCAATGCCCAGCCAGGTGCGTCCTGCTTCCACAGCCCATTGCAGCAAATATTTTTAGAAGTGGACCTTTTATATAAATAGCAGACACCAGTTTTGGAATTGGTGAGCCAGTTTTGTCTTAGTGTCATTCCCTTGACAATTTCAGGGCAGTGGGTAGATGTAATGCTGCCGGAGATGTTCGGTGGAAGCAGGTTGCTGTTGGGAAACAGGACCGGAGGCACCGTCTTTTTCCTGACACAGTCTCATTAATTGGATCTGTGTCTTGTCTGACACAAAACTCAAGTAACCATGTATGGATTGTCTCTGCACCATGTGTACACTTAAGTTTTTGTAAGTCTTGCTGAGGTGTCACCTTGCTAGAAACATCATGGTTGGACCTATAGTCACCTTGGGAGCTACTGACCAGGCACAATAAGTGAATGACAGCATCTTCTACATAGTTATGCACAGTGCAGGTCATGTTCACATTTTCGTGCAATTGCTGAGATGGGTACAAAAGCTGTCACTTTGGGCCACTGGAGCCAGTGCAGTTCACCATGATCACAGTGTAGCAAAGCTGCAACCCCACAACATCAATGGCCACCAGCATGAGGCTACCGACGGCACTCATGCAAAATACATGTCCTGACACAGGCGCAAACCACGTATTATGGAGATGAATCCACACTGTTTTTTATACCCACCATTTGGTGGTGGTGGAGCTGCCATCTGTGCTGGGTCCTCAATAGCACCATTGGCCACAGCAGATGATTCCTGCATCATCCAATCAAACACAAGTTAACGCACAACAAATTGGCAGCCTTTCTGGTTCCGCGTTGATGTAATGCCCAATTGCCTACACTTTAGAATTCAGGTATCGGAGTGCCTCATGCACAGCTCTAGAGAAATTAACTCGTCAGCTTGAGCGCTACGATCCGAGCTTTCAAAGAAACATCACGAGGCAGCACACTCGTGCAAAGTCAATAAGACCAAAAACAACACAGTTCTCTTTACTACAAGTAGCAAGTTTTAGGAGACCGTTACCGTGTTCTGCGGTGGCCACGGTACGGCTGGTAAGGCTGAAAAGCATGCTTCAAAGTTACAGCGCGAGCTCCCAGTAGCAATTTCGCTGCGCACGGCAACGGTACGCTAAAACCGCCCATTGAGATGCCATGCACTTACTTACCGACACTGCAGCCGAGATGCCGAGTGGCGTCGGACGAGGCGCGTCCGCCCTCGAAATCATGCGCCTTCTTCCGTGTCTTAGCGAGGAACCTTTCTCATATGGGCCAAGATTCTGTCCTACTCCTCGAGTTCAGCGAGGACACTTGGTTCACGTCCCCCACCAGACTGCCGAGTGGTAATCGCGACGTGAAAAAGCCAGACTTGACAGCAAAAATTCCAAAAGTGAGGCAAATCTTCGTACTACAGTGCCTAGAAATATATATTCTAGGCACTCTATTCGTACAGACACATGAGCACTTTTCGTGCGACATCCACCGTCGGCCATGACGATTCATCACGATCGCGATGCAGCTCACGCATTGCGATCATCTAAATTGTTTCACTTACGTAAAAAGACATGATTCATGCGACCTAGACATGACACCGGTAATTATATTTAGATTGTACCGCATTATACATTTTCAGAAGTTAAAAATGTTGCTTTTACAAGACCCTTCGATGCGGCGTTGCGCACTTCCCTCTAGGGACATATTTTGGGGACAAATCCCGATGAAGTTTCAACCAACGTTGTTTCAACTCAATCGCCACTCTCCGTCGACGTCATCAACGCGCCGCGATGAAGTTCCCTGCCAGTTGAGTTCGCCGCCTATTGAGATTAGGCTCCTCCCACCGGCGACGTCACGATGAAGTTTCTTCATCGCTTTTTCCAGCATAGACAGACAGGACGGCTTCTGCACACACTCACCATGCAACAGACATACTCCCTTATGAATAGGGATGTCGCGAACCACCCTAGGTTCGATTTCGAAAGGTTTCGATATTTGCAAAGCGAACTGAGGTTCGATTTCGAAAAATTTCGATATTTTCGTACCGACCGAGGTTCGATTTCGAAAAATTCGCAACTTTTGACCACAGCGGAGTTTCGAATTCGAAAATTTCGAAGCTTTCACGGTTTCTAAAATTTCGAATTCGAATATTTCGAATATTTTTTTACTTCAGGTTCGATAAATTCGAATATTTCGAAATTCTTTGTAAAAAAAAAAAATTCGAAAACTTCGAACGCTTCGAATTTTTATAGACATGAAGTTCGAACAATTCGAAGATTTCGAATTTCTTTTTGCATAAAGTTCGAAAAGTTCGAAGGTTTCGGTTCTCTTTTAACGCTAAATTAAAAAAAAAAAAAAAAAAAAAAAGTTCGAGGATTTTGAATTTCTTTCTAATCCAAGTTTTCAAAGTTCGAAGTCCGATTTTCAAGTTTTTCCACAGTTTCAGTTTCAAATAACGTTTTCACGACTCAATTGTTTTCACAAAATCAAGTTTAGAAAAGAGGTAAGAGAAGAACGGCTATATATATCGGCTGTGGCAACTGCAAAAACGAACTTAATGCGCAGTCGGGCTGATGGAAATTTACTATGCTGCCTTTTAACCCGAGACTGGAGCAGGTGGAGGAAAATTGTTTTTCCGCCTTCTGACCCAGTCTCAGGTTAAAAAAACAATGGAAAAAATAACTATTCGAGGAAACCTATCAACACATGCCACGAAATGCGGCTCTGCTAGCACATTTGATATCCTGTCTTGTCTGAAAGCATATTATACAGCTGCAAATTGTATTATTGCGGCAATTAAGCTCAAATAATTTTCACTACAAGTTGTCCGAGTTGAAAACATAAAATCGACTGCAACAGAACTCAATGCATCAAAAGGATAGAAGCAGTAGTAAATCTTTTATGGCTTCTCGTTTCCTTTCGATTTAAATTTTACGTTGTTTTTGATTGTTGTGAGTTGCAGTCTTCTTGCCTTGTGTGATCGTCTTACTAGAAAAAAGAAAAAAAGCTTTCCACAGCAACCTTTATGCATTGACGCAGCACGATTTGAAAATAAAATAATGTATTTTCAACTTTTGGTGAGCAATTGTCCCTTGCAATATTTTGCCACCAAGGGAAGAGAGGCACGAAGGCCCATGCATTACAGATCTCCAGCAAGAACGACGGTCGCTTCCCACGATGCTTGGACAGAAAATGGTGTACCATCGCAATTCACACATTCACCAGCGTTCTCCGCGCTTCTCTGTGCCCCATTGTTTGGCAGCGCCATACGCTGTGAAGTGAGTTTTACGACAATGTGAAATGCGGGACATTTTGAAGATTTTGGGAGTTCCTTGCGGGACGCGAAACACGAGCCCTCAATGCGGGACAGTCCCGCGAGTCACGGGACGGGTGGTCACCCTACACTGGCAGGTGTGGCTGGCCTCGGCAGCTCACGTCGATCAGTTGGCTCTGGTCCACTTAGCAGAGAAGCACCTCTTGGGTTTTTAATTGACCCCATTAAAGTCATTTCTTTCTCTCTCTCTCTCTGCTCGAGGCATCTAGATTGAGGTCTACCCACTATCCCTTCAAAGCTCGGAGTCATTTTGACGTCGCTGCAAATCCTGCACGGGAAACAGACGACTTGCTCTCCGCACAGCTTTACGGACACTTTGCAGGGATTTCAGTGTCGGCATTTGTTGTCGTCTGTTGTTGCAGCGGAGACGAAAAACACGCTTTCTCCCCTCATAGCACGAGGAGAGAGAAGTCCAATGTTTCCATTAGCCGTGACAGGCGGAAAGGGACGAGTGCCCCAACGACCCACCAATTATGGCAAGACGAAACGTCAGCGGGGCGTTTTCCCCATCGCCTGCCAACAACTTCAAAACGGGCATTTCAAACATTGCTCACATCATAAGAAATCCAACTTTGGCAGTGTCCAGTCGCTATGCGTAATGTTGAGAGTTTTAGAAATTTCCACCGCGTTCGATTTCACGTCTATACTTCTTGAACTCCACTTGAAACATAAAATACATTCTGCCGAAACTCATTTTCCACTGGCAAGGTAAACACAGCTATTTGGCAGAACTGCTCTTACCTAGATTAGTGTTATAAATTTCAAAATTAGTTATGGCAGTTTCTTAAAGCCTACTTTAATCCAGTTATTGAATTACTTAAATACCGGAATGTTGTGCAGAGGTGGTACAAAACAGCAATACTGCACTATTCTTCCTTCATTCAAGACCCAGCCAATGCTCTACACTACAAATAGGGTTTCACATTTTCAGTACCTCAAATAAATTTTGACAAAGTGGAGGAAAAAAAATAGCCATTTTTCGAAACTCAAGCTTTACAAAAGTAAATAAATATGTACAGGTTTATTTTACAGGAAGCAACCGCACTGCGAGGCCGCTCCTTTCGTTAGGGACCACATCCTTCCCTCCATCGCCAAATGGGCATTTTCCTAGTATAGCATTCGAGTTACCTGCACATTCTCCAGAATTTTGGCCGATAAACCCAGATTATTTATTCAAATCAGGGGACAAAAAGAAAACTGAATTAAAAAGATACAACTCAAAAACACTGAGCCGAAACTATACAATTTGGCAATTGAAATTTTTCGACTTCCAGTGCCACTCACTGAAGATATAAAATTTAAATATTTTGTAGCTCCTACCAAATGAGTGGACAAAGGTTATGCAAAACACTTTATTAGACGAAATGAAATATAGAACTCCAAGGCACTGACGAACGTGGAAGAAAAACAACCAGTCACTTAGGTTGACTATATCAGGAAAAAAACATTTGCAGTCCACCACTGTCTTGGTGTCCTCAACAACCCATTAACATACGACATCCAGTTGAGTTGACATGAACGCGAGGGCAGGGGTTGGCCTTAAAAAAAACACAACACTGAAAAAAGGACAAGCTGGCCCGTACACGAAACAGACTTATGTTACATACTCCAGCAGCTAAGGAACGAGAATGGCAGTTAAGCAAATAAACACAATGTGAAAGAAAAGCTACTCAGTACTATCGATGAAACATGTCACTTTCAAGGCACTTCAGAAAGATGAAAAAACATAAAAGAGAGAAAGCTGTATTGTTCAAACAGCTTAACTTCCGAGGCAGAAAATGAGCATGAGCAAAGTTACACATAGAACTGAACGAAAACTTTAATCCAACTAGAAACTTTCAACACAAACAACATTATAAAAAAAAAGATGCTCGTCAACACTTGGAACTCTGAAAGAAAGCTTTGTCCACCACTGCTTTCTAGATGTAGAAAAAACAAAACAAAAACAACCTCCTAGAGGTAGAAGAGGGTTGTGCTGAGGTTCTTGTGAGGCTCAGCATGAAGTGACTGACCAGCCAGGAAGGCCAGCTTGTGGGCATATTGGCAGGGTGCCGGCACCCTGATGGTCCCCTGCAAGAGAAAGAGACATCAGTCAACTCAAGCACTGACCATGTTAGCTGCTGTAACAATAATTTTATGTGAAGTAGCTTCATCCACTTAAAATTCCATCGCAAAAATTAAAAAGAAGATAAAAGAAAGGAACTAAATGTGTTAAAAAATAAAGCACATTTTTTTTTTTTAGCATCACTTTCATAAAAGTGCTTTGGCAAAGGCCATTTTATTGCACAACCATGACAGACTTCTCAAGTGATGTTTTAAAGTCAACTCCAAGGCACTCCAGTCTTCATAAACACATTGTACTGATTCCAGAGGTGACACCATTCTTTGCATCTGGCCTAGTAAGAATGCTTAAAATAAAGGAGTAAAGTCAATTGCGAGTTTATCTTTCAAGGGTTTCTAATATAGTCAATTCTAATGAAACGAGGCACCTGCATGACTGAGAGACTCGAGGACTTCCAAGGACAGGTAAATTAAGGTGAGGGAGGAAAATAATTATAAAATAATATGCCTCTAGCGGTACCACCTGGGAAGGCACAACTGATTTAAAGCCAATTTGAAATAAGAAAACAGGGTGGCAAGAACATCAAATTTGATTTGTGAAAAATAAAATCCAACTGAAGGAGAGAAGAAAACTAATTGGTTAAATTAAAATTAAAAATGACTAGGCCATCCTCTCGACGTCAGCCTCGCCATAGCTTTGCTCGTCCCGAGACTGACTACGTCACGATTGCGTTGGATGTCACGTGGTCTCCACTGGCTGTTCTCCGAGCGCTTGCCAGAGTGGGCCGTTTACAACGAAAAATACAGCCATTAGGCTCAAAATACACACGTCCGATTGTCATTTACGGATATTGTGCATCATATTCGGCATATTTGTGGACACGACGGGTATATTTCAAATTTCGTTGAAGTATCCCTTTAAGGCATCCGTTGCCTTGAGGCATGGAAGGCACTCCAAACGTGGAAGGTACTCCGAAACAGCTTAACCCGGGGAATAAAAAAGCTCTGGCCACCGTCTCGGCTGTTGTGTTCTCAAGCGGGTGAACTTCAGGCCAACGGGAGAAACAAGCGATGCAGGTCACTACTTAGGTAAAATCACGTGATGGGGGCAAGAGTTCGACGATGTCCACGTGCACTTGCTCGAAGTGTAGTGATGGAAGGGGAAACGCTCTGAGCAGTGTCCGCGTGCGTCGCTGTACTTTGCAACGTACAGCAACGTGAACACAGCACAACGTAAGTTCTTTGGAACTTAAGGTCGTGGGGTTCCAGTGGACTTGTCGCAGACAAGGATCACACCGTGATCTGGGAAATATAAGTCCTCAAATATCGGTGAAGTGCCAACTTCCCGGACGGATGGAAGCTCGTCGTCATTTATTTGGGCCTGTGCAAGCTCAGAATATGTAAACTGAATCTTCTCCGTAGCAATTAGGGATGTCGCGAACCACCCTAGGTTCGATTTCGAAAGGTTTCGATATTTGCGAAGCGAACTGAGGTTCGATTTCGAAAAATTTCGATATTTTCGTACCGACCGAGGTTCGAATTCGAAAAATTCGCAACTTTTGACCACAGGGGAGTTTCAAATTCGAAAATTTCGAAGCTTTCACGGTTTCTAAAATTTCGAATTCGAATATTTCGAATATTTTTTTACTTCAGGTTCGATAAATTCGAAGATTTCGAAATTCTTTGGAAAAAAATTCGAAAACTTCGAATGCTTCAAATTTTTACAGACATGAAGTTCGAACACTTCGAAGATTTCGAATTTCTTTCTGCATAAAGTTCGAAAAGTTCGAAGGTTTCGATTTTCTTTGAACGCTAAATTAAAAAAAAAAAAAAAATTGAAGATTTTGAATTTCTTTTTAATCCAAGTTTTCAAAGTTCGAAGTCCGATTTTCAAGTTTTTCCACAGTTTCAGTTTCAAATAACGTTTTCACGACTCACTGGTTTTCACAAAATCAAGTTTAGAAAAGTTAGGGTGTTATATCTAGATTCTGCGAAGTTGGTCAGGCAATTAAATGAGACGACGAGTGCTTGATTTTTCACAAAATCAAGTTTAGAAAAGTTAGGGTGTGATATCTAGATTCTGCGAAGTTGGTCAGGCAATTAAATGAGACGATGAGTGCCCCGGGCGTGTTAGAATATTTGCCAGTGCAGAATTGTGACCGCCAGCCCCCCGGGGGGGGGGGGGGGGGGGGGGGGGGGGTCGGGTCTTTATCACGCAGTAGTGATTACACGAACACACTGTTTTACGAGACTCATCCAGTTCGAAACGGCCAGGGGCGAGCAGGAGGTTGAGGCTCGGAAGAACCTTGAAGCGACTTGGCAAACTAGCTCGCCACCCCTTGCACGCTGGAAGTAATCCGATCCGGTCAAGTTTATAATTGTCCTGGAGGTTTATTTTCTGGGACGGAGGAATCGCCTCGCAAAAAGCACAAAAGCCGACACAACTCGAGGTCGAGGAGCGTTCTACCATACAAGTGGCGTCGGAAGAGGAAAAACGGGGGGAAAGAGGGTAGCGGGGGGGGGGGGGGGGGGGGCTGGGTTTCAGCTTTTTTTTCTCCCTTGCAGGTATTTCGGACTGTTAAAGAAAACAATACGGGGAAAGAGGGCGTGGTCGAGCTTATTTTAATCTGAAATTATTTATGCATATGTGTAGCTACTGTCGCTCTTCACTGCATAAAAGGTTGCGTAGATGGTCATTGTTAGAAACTCGTTGTCAGAAGGCACTACTCGTCACATGCTTAGTGGTTCGGAAGTTTAAAGCTGTCTTTTCGACCTAAATACCTGTGCCAATAAAAAAAAAAAAAAGAATAAATGCAAGAATAAAAAGCAGGAGAAAAAAAAAAAAGCTATCAAGAATTCGTCGGAAGTGTTCTATCGCATATTCAGAGGTTCAGAACTTCGAAACAAGTTTCTTTTACCAAAATGTGTACAGGCTAAAAGAAATACGTCCCAGGAACGTGAAGCGAAAAAAAAAAAAAAGTTTTCTTTTAATGACGTGCTGAACTTAAACACTATTAGATATGTACTGTCTGTGGTGTTAATTTAAATGCGATACCTCAAACAACTTAGACGAAAATAAATATCAAGTTTAGGTCAGAATTGCAAGCAGATACATATTGGGACATTTCTTCGAAACTCACGTTGAATAACAATCATCACATCTTAGGACGGCACTTACCTAGGCTATACATAGATCATTCTTAAAAAAGTATACCATAAATAGCTCCGGCTGCAGCGTGCTTCAAATCTGGCACAAATGATAATCGTCAAAAACCCGTTGTCCTTCCTCGCCCCTTCGGGGATTTATTTCTTTAAGGGGGAACACTGGTCTTGGAGCTTTTTTTCTTATTTTACGACCAAACCAAATGAAATTGCACAAGCTTGTTCAGTTTTTTGTGCTGATTTCATATATCTGGTAATTTTCTCAGTCAGAAGAATTGTCCTCAAGATAATTAAAACTTGCCTGCCTTTGTTTGGAGGAACGATAGGGAAAAAACAGCTCAATAAAATATCCTTTTTAACAAATGGCTAGATACTATGAAGTGTAGAGAATACAATGTTGGAAGTACTTTTAAGATAAACCCAATATTAGTAATTTTACCACACATTGAAGCTCAGTGCTCAATGCATGGCGAACAAGTAATAAAACAGAAGATTAAATAAAAAATTTTCTAGACTTATATTAAAAAATCTTCTCTCAACATTGTATGCTTCACACATTTAGCTACACATTTCAGGAGAGGTTATATTTCTATCTGCTCTAGATGCTGGGATATCCCTCCTGCAAATTTTCAACAAGTCCAAAAATTGTGTTTTGTGAAAACTATGTTTTAGAGTCAGCTTCAGCGCACAATCAGCCCGCATAGACATTATAAATTGATTTATAGCTCAAATATTCTTCTATGAAATTAGAAGTCTGGTAGGTTCAGAAGAACAACAGCCATTGCCATTTTCAAAAGACTGCAGTTTTAGGCAGTTTTTTGCTCCGAAGACCCCTGTCTCCCCTTAAACCTAAGCATGCCAGAACATTGAAATAAACGACATTGTCTTTCGTAAGGAACGCAGCACCGCGTGTACTAATTCGAGAAAAGAAAAATTACGAATGTACCCGACTACTTGAAATCAAATGAAACCGTCCGCCGGTCTTTCGAAGTTCGACGAACGTCGAACTTTTACCCTAAAAGTTCGAAGTTCGTCGAACTTCTGACATTTCAGAATTCGAAAGTTCGAAACTTTTCGAATTCTCTTGATAAATAAGTTCGAAAATTCGAAATTCATCGAGTTTTTTGGTCAGTCAAGTTCGAAAGTTCGACAAGCATCGAACCTTGCAGCGCAATAAGTTCGAAAAAGATAGAATTTTTTAGCGTAATAAGTTCGACGGTTCGAAAAGCGTCAAAGTTCTTAGCTTAACAAGTTCGAAAATTCGACCTCCGTCGAATTTTACGATATAGACAATTCGAAAAATCGAAATCTTTCGAACCTTTCGAACCGCTTGATTCGATCATCGAAACTTCGATTCGAAAAAAGTTCGCGGCATCCCTAGTAGCAATAGCGTTAAGGTTAAGGTTATTGCATTATCTGGGAGGTTATTCGGCGCAGGCGGAACTTATTCACCTCCACAAACCAGAACGTTGGACCCTCTGCCCAAAACTTAGGACGGGTCGGGACGGCGGTAGCTCTGATTGCGAGGGGGGCATCTTGGTCAGCTCCTATAGCCATGGCGACGCATGTCCGAGTCACCAGAAATGTAATGAGCTTGGTGTAAGTAACTACATTTATATTTACCAAATTTACAAATGGTTATTAGTTCCGAGGTAGGAGCCGGACAGCGCAGAACGTCGACGCACCGTATCGCCCCAAATCTCCATGTCTCGTGGCACGCGTCAAAGATCAAGCGGTGCCGAAACGCACTGCTCCCATTGTCATTCCTGTTGTCACTGTAGCTCGGGGGCTATAATTTCAAGGAATTACCGAATCTATTCTTCGCAGTGGATGTTTCTGAACTGAACCCAAAATGTTGAGAGAAAACAAGCGGAATGCAGGTGACTACCGACTAAATTGCGTCTTGCACCAACAATATTGCTCTAAAAATTTTTCGCTTCGCATAATATTATTTTTTTGACACGCATGTCCCAACCGAATTGTTTAAAAAAAAATTATTTCTCTTTTTTTATTTAAAGCGATGCCTAAGGGAACGGGCCTTATCAGCGGCAAATGTGTTTTGCGTATTTCCTATCCCCCAAGATCTGCACAGTAAAGCGCAGTGCACAATTTTCCTCTATTCGTCCAAAGCCCCGTTTCCCGAAAACACTGAAAAATTTGTCTCTACCAACAAGACTTGCTTTGTCTGTATTTTTATCGTTCCGTTCCTCCGTTTATACTATGCAAGTTCTTCACCAGCTTGCCCGTGTTTTTACCCTTTTAGTGTACGAAAGCAGCGTCTAGAACAGGGGTGGCCAGGCCTACCAGGCCTAGGAGCTGCAAATAGAATTACGAAACTTCTAAGAGCCAGGGGGGGGGGGGGGGGGGGGCAAGTTTAAATTTTGTTCAGAGTCTGACTGTACGTATGAGTGCACAAGGCTGTACGACAGTACGTATGGAGGTACAAGGCTGCCAAACCGCGAGCCGTACTTCATTCTGCCTGAAATCCCTCCTTTTTTTTCCTGGGGAAATGCGGGAAGGGGGGAGGGGGGTCCCCTTACAAGGAATCCGCGAGCCGCGGTTTGGCCACTCCTGGTCTAGAACAAACGTGGGGGCTTTTCTTTGTGGAAAAGAGGTCGGCTATGCAACTCACAGGCCAGTTGAAGTAGAGGTGAGTGAGCTTGTACGACAGCCTCTGCATGTGTTCCGGCTTCAGCGTCGTCGTGTCGTGGATTACGTTGAAGTGAGTCGGGGCTACAGTTCCCTGGCGGACGCTCTGCGAGACCAGGTAGAAATCGTACCTGGAAGTGAGAAACAGAACAAAGGTGCAATCAGAAACTGCCAAAAAACAAAACAAATGCGTGCAGCAACTCCATCTCAGAGGGAAGGGGCAGCACAGCGTACCTCTCGGGCCTTGTCACGTTGGTGTCAATCACGGTCCCTGGCAGCGGGTTCTGGAACGCTCCACGACCGGTACCGAAGAAGCGTGCAGCGATCCTCTTGGTGACCACGATAAATGCAAGCTGGGGCCTTGAGAGGGCAAACGGAGCAATGTGTCAGTGGAGAATGCAAGAAATAAAGTTGTATAAAGTTCAGCTGCACTAAGATGGCAGCAATTCAACCAAGCTTGAGATTATGAGATAGAGCAGTGGTTCTCAAGCATGGATGTCGAGGACCCTTTGGGGCACTCGCCAAAGTGATGGGGTCTTAATGCCAGCAGTGAAAGGGGAATGGGGAGGGGATATAAAATAAGATAACTAATTGCAGTTATAGACAAGAGAAGTGAAAGGCATTAAGTAAAAGGATGAACAGATTGTAATGGCTGTACCCTTTATAGTGGGCAGTAGATGGCACCCCCTACCCAAGCTCAACTAAGCACAAACCTTTCTTTTTTCTTTTTTTTCAAGAAAAGGAGGCGGGGGTTCAGGAGAGGGCTTCGCGGACCTTAGCGGGTCAGTGGAACCCCATTTGAGAACCATTGAGATAGAAGAAAGGTGGCAGAAGAAGTCCCACCCCATTTCCCATACTTGTACTACATTCTTCCTTAGGAGCCAATGGCACAAGCAAGAGAGACCTTGCTGCTTTGAAACATTCTTCCACAGAACGAGCGCTCGCGCCAAAAGTGCATGGATCGAAGTCCGAAAGGCGGGCTAGCTCGCGCTTGTTGCTTTGGCCGAATCTCAGTTTAAGGGAGGAAGTGGGTTCTTAAAAACTATTTTTTGTTTATTGGTCTATCTCAATGATTTTTTGTGCAGGCATGTAGTTTATTGTGCTGATTTCATAACTGCAATCAGATTTCAGATATCTCTTCTTTGTCAAAAGTTATCAACAAAATAAAATATTAATTAGCTAATTTCAGGAAAAGTTTTAAAAAACCTTCTTATTAAAATTTTAATGAAAAAAAGGTATCAATTGCTTCCTAAAGAAATGCCATACAAGCTAAAGCTATTTTTATTTCTTTAGCACCATATAAACATGTAAAAAAATTAAAGTGAATAGAAGACATACAATAGGGGCTATAACAATGTCTAATAATGAAATGCCAGTTTTACATACCACAAAATATCATAATAAAAATAGCTTTAGCTTGCAGTCTAGTTCATTCCAAAGAATATGGTACCAAGTTTATGAAAATCGGTTGAGCGCAAGTGAATGAAAAAGCCTTCCTGGCCGGAGAAGAGGCTGAAAAAATCGAAGCTGAGAAAATCGACTTTGAAATTTGGGTATGCATAACTAACAACATTGAAGCTTTAGATGGGTGGAATGCCTTTGGTTTGAACTTCATACTAAGGGAGAGACACGGGTAGGGAAAGCAGACCCATATGCAACAATTGGTTAGCCCTCAGAAGGGCTTTTTTAGGGGACGTGGGGACATTTTCAAAGCACCGGCTTGTGAACGGGCGCGGCCATTCCGCACTGCTCACATTTGGCGGTCGCGAAGAACACGTTCAGCCCGTTCAAATCCACGATCACGAATTGCGTGCAGAAATCTGTCTCTTTATCCTCGACAGCGACATTGAGGAGGTCAAACTTCCGTTGTGTGGCAGACTTCTTCGCGGTCAAATCCTGCTTCATCTCGTCAGCCCGCGCCGCACGTTGAGCAGTTTCGCTTGCCGTGTAGAAATGCAAGTCGAGTCGTGACGCACCAGGGTCAAAGCCGTCGTCTTCTTCGTTGCTCACATCAGGGGCGGGCACCTCGGAAGACGATGCAGCTGCTGACACCTTGCCGCATGTCCGCCGCAAGCAACGCAACTGGCGATGCGAGCAAAGTCCTTGTTCTACGCCCGACGCTTCCGCTTGCCGTACGCACGCTGCGTTGAAAGCTTCACGCTAGGCATCGCGATCACTACCGATGTCTCCTAAAGACGTCGAGCTAAACAAAGCAGGCGAACGCCGAAAAATAACGTGCTTGAAGTTTCAAAACGCAACCGCTAGCAGACGACAAACAACGATATCGGCTGCTCTCGACTGCTTCCGCGCCGCGAGGAAGGAGAGGAGGGAGGAGAATGACATATTTCAGGAGAGGGGGCATGCGCATCGGCCAATAGCGACAGCGCTCGCTGCGGCCCGTGCTTCTTAGCCAATCGGTAGCTCGGTTTCTTTCTCTGGGGAAACGCGGTATTCTGTGCTTTCCCCGGGCGGACGCCATTTTTAATGGCGCCAAAAATGTAGACAAAGAAGCAAGCTTTCGAACGAGACCAAAATGGCCGCAAACGGGCGCGCACCGGCGGCGCGCGGAGGGCGCGCGTTTTGACATCAGTTTCCTCTTTCGGAAAGATTTTTAGCGCGTTCCGCGCGACCTAATTATCGTTTTTTTTATACTTTGAGTTTGAATTACGCTATAATAATTTGAAGAGAGGTGCTTGGATATGTATTGCACCAAATACAGGATTTCTGAAAAATGAACTTTTTCGCGATTTTTTGCATTTTTAGAACCCGCGTCCCCCCTTAAGGATAAACAGAGTATAGTACACAATGCTCGCAAGGTGTACGGACTGCCGAGACATCACACATACATACACACACACACAAAAAAAAAAAAAAAAAAAACTAATAATTTTGACAAATGATTTACGCCAGTTAACCGAGTGGTGAAGGGGGCGTCCTCCCAAACGAAAGGTGGACACTCACTCTCTGCCCGGGAACATCTCGGTGAGGAGGCTCTGGATCTGGCCCACCTCCCACTCCTGCACCTGCAGCAGCTGGCCGTCCGAGACGCCGTCCCTGAAGAACAGCAGGCGCTCGGGCACGGCCCCGTCATTCTCCTCCTGGTACTGCTTCATGGACACTGCGGGCAACCCACGGGACACGTCTCTGCACAGCTATTCCTTGTACTAGCACAGATGGTCTCCTTTTCAGTTTGTCTGCGAGCCACTAAAAAGCTACACTTTAGAGTAGGGGTTTTCAAACTGGGTTCCGCGGAACACAAGCCGCTGGCGCGTAGACCAATCTCGCATGATACAAACAAACATATCTGAACGTGACTTTTTAGCGTCTCTCAGCCATCCCTTTCATCGAGACAACGGCCGTTGGAAGCAAGTTGGAGAAGACCCGGCGAAACGACCGCGGACGCACAGAGGCAGAGGTGTACTCACGCGCCATGTGGGTCTTGAGAGCGCTGCCCAGCTCTTGGTGTGTCTGGTGGAAGCTCACCCGGGAGTACCAGCGGGTCAAGGTGCGGTTCAGGCTGGCCACAAAGCCGCCCGCGGACAGGCCCTTCTGCCTTGAGTCGTGGTAGGTGTCGTACCCGACGCACATCATCTTGGTTAGCTGCAGAGGGGACAGCACGAGCTCGCACACCGATCCACAATGCCCGCGGGCAGACACGTGCAGCCTAATTACAGTACTTAGAACGCGTTTCCGACCGATGCGTTTCCCGCGCCCTCAAAAACCGTCCCTTGATTTCCGCCCCAAGACGTCGTGCCAGTGTCATGCTGTTGCCTGCCGCAATCCTGGCGGTAGTACTGCAGTGGAGGTGGCACGGCAGACACCCATTTTGTTGCGGGTTGCTCTCGAGCCTAACAGTCCACGAAAGCTTTGGCAGCCAGAAAGTGGGACACCGCAACGACGACACTTGCATCCTCTCTTTGCCAAGACTTCTGCGACTAACCGCCAGAATTGCGACACCCGACTTTGCGACACAACCTGTTGCCACCCGAGGACCACTTTCGACGCACGGGTGGAAGGGAACGCTAAACACACTGGTCGCAAGACGCTTTCCAGACATTGTGACACAAGGAAGGGAGGCTGACCGGAATGTCGAGGGCCCAGGCTTCGCCGCCGAGCTTGCAGTTCATTTGGATGGCCACTTTGGTGGCCACGGACTTGAGGTTCTTCTTGTTGGAGATGGTGCGGCCGAGCATCACCTGCGTGTGAACTGGGGACGACAAGAGGAACGTGAGAGAGAGAGCCCCGCCGGCCTTTTATATAACGGAGAGGGCCGCCACTTACGTCCCATGTCCACGCAGGCCACCTTCTTCAAGCTGTCGTAGCGGTCCTTGCGGTTGTTCGGGAAGATGGTCATCAGCAGCTGGGTCTCCCTCGGAATGTTCTTGAGCGCGTTGATGTAGGAGCTCACGCGGTCGTCATCCAGCGTCACCCTGGAGGCACCGGAGAGACGGAACGTGAGCGGGCGTGCCATATTTCCGGCACTTAAAGGGGCTTGTGGAACGATTATAACATTGAATGAGCTTGCATCTTCTACTTTCGAAACTGTTTAATTTGTCAAAAAGACCGGGAACACATCACCTTCCTTCAAAATGTTCAGATTCCGCTGCGTAATCGTGAGGCAAAAATTTAATATTTATTGACCTGTAGCTGCAAGCGGCGGCCCTGAGAATGCTGTGGCGTGACGTCAAACAGAGACTTGTAAAAAAAAAAAATTAAACTTGTGCATCTACCTGCTCGATAAAGCAGGTAGATGCACAAGTAGATGCACAAGTTAAAGGGTTTAAACAAAATTTTTGATGCAAAATTCAATGATGTTTTAAGGGGGGATACGGCCACGAAATTCCATTTTTTTCCGAAAAAATGCATTTTCAAAAAATATTATATTTGGGTTCACTATGTTCTGAAGCATAGTTTCAGAAAGTTTTATTTATAAATGCGCAGTATTTATTTCGCAAAAAATTATTTTCGGCAAGCTCGCGGCCGCGCGCGGCGACCCGCCGAGCAAGCAGACGGCGAAGTTCGGCATTTTCAAATTAGGCCTACTCCGCGCTCGTTTGACGCAGCCGAGATATTTTACCCTCGTTGGAAGCGCCGTTTCTTCTAGTTTCTGCCCATAGAAGCTTGCTACGTTTGAGGCTATCTGTGTCCCGGGAGAACCCCGTACATACAAGCAGAAAAAACGTGGGAACTATGATACCAGCAATCCCATTGGTTGTGACCCGAAACAGGACTCACGATTGGCCGCCTGCGCGCGCTATCGGCAGCTTCTTTCGCTTCTGATCGTATCGCTAGTTTGCCGCTGTTTAGATTCGTTTTCCCTCTTTGTTCCCGGTAGTTTTTCTGCCGAGAAATGCCTGCTTCCAAAGTTAGCACTTGCAGTAGCTTTGGCCGGCGTTCTCAACGGCGGAAACAAAGGGCCGGCGGAGACGGGGACCCGTCTCCGCCGGCACCATCGTCGCCGTCTCCGCCACCGTCGTCACGATCTCCATGCTCAACTGGTGCTTGGCGGACATCGGAACCTACAGCTTCATCTCCGAATCGGATGTGCTGACCACGTTCGAGAGGAAGCTCAGCCTGCGTGATTTCGACGCGGGGATTACGGACGACCCGGAGCTGACAGACGCTCCCGTTGAAAAGCCCCTGAACGGCTCCTCAATGTGTCCGCCATGCAGACTCTTGTTGCAATTTTACTCTGCCTCAAGTGCCACGGAAAACTACTGAGCTTGCAAGAAGTTGACATCAACCTTTAGTTTGTTGTTAGCTGCTCGACTTGCGGAGACATCGTCGCGACACCGCACTCACCATCAATCGGCAAGTTTCGAGAGAACGAACTCGCGGTACGTCTAGGCGTCGTTGGAAGAGACTGTGGCATCAGTTTCACAAAGCTCACGAATCTCTTTGGGGGCCTCAACGCACTGCCCTCCTCATGCTCATGTAGTTGAAGGTGCCACCAATGACTCGGGTAAATTTCGAGTTTCTAGCATGTCCGAATATAAAAAAAAAACAAGTTGAAACTTCAAACGCATTTTTCTCAGTTTCACTTTTTGGCAGGAATTCTTGTTTTAGGAAAGCTATCATTTGACATTCTGAATACAGAGGGACATCATTCAAGGTTTTCTGGGACTAAAATTTTCTGGGGAACAAGATAGACTACTTCACAGTTCAAAAAATCTACTCCTTCATGAAAAAAAAAAATATTTTTTTGAAACAAAAATTTTACATTTTTTTTTTTAATCTTGGGATGTTCTTATATTTGTTATAACTGAATATTTTGCAATTTATTTTTTATCTAGGTTGCACTGTGGGTATTGTTCTTAACATTAAGGCAAAAAGTTTGCCACCAGCTAATTTTATTTTTCTACGATAGACTTCCTAATGAAGTGTCTTTTTTCTGAAGTGCGAGAACCGTAGCATGCTTTAAAGTTGACCAATAATGCTAAAACTTTGCAGATTATCCTTCCTCATAGTGCTGAAATAACCCTCAAAATTTGAACCAAATTGGGTGAAGGGTTCAAAAGTTGACCCTCCCAGGCCATATCCCCCCTTAAGGATTTCAAGGGTGTCAGGACTCAGAAGACACAAATCGAGGCAACCCAAAGCAAAACCGGCGATGACACGGGACACGGTGCCCACACTGCACGAGCCCACGCGCGGGTCAGTAATACACAGAGCATTGGGCTCGCGCTACCTTTCACTTCGCTGGTAGCCAGCGCACGGGAACAGGGCGGGCCAACATTGAAAACATCCACAAGCTCGGCCTTCTTTTTTTTTTTTTTTAAGTCTGCTCAGTGGGATGGTTCTTCGCTTAGCCTCTGCGGCTTTGGTCTCAGATGTTGCCAACGTTGTCCCTTTCAATGATGATGATGATAATGTGCCCTCGCAGTTTCGGTTTGCGTAACAGTTGCGGCGCGGAAAATACTGCGGTACCGCCACGCTCTCTGATAAGACTTCCAATTTTTATTTTTTTATTGCTACATCGCATCTCGGCACAGGCATGGCGCAATTCTTCGGTAAAATGACAATTTGGCGCTACATGTACCAGGATCGCGTCCTTGGCGCAATTTGGCGCAGCACTTCCATCACTGCAAATGTAGCCTTTGGAGCAACCAAAACAGTGTTTTGGAGCAGCAAAAGCGGCTTTTGGAGCAGATATTCTTAGGAAAATAAAAATATTTGTTTTAAGTGCTGTACAAACGAAGGGCACTTTGTGTTTGTGTTGTGTTCTGATGTGACGTGTTGTGACGGAACTATCTGGTTTTGTTTTTTTCTGCTCAGACATCCCACATGTGTAGAGTGCTGTAGGCATTGCCGAGCACCTCCGAAAAACCGCTTGCCCCCGTTTTACTGGTTCCCGACGTGCCAGATTTTCGTCAAAAGTAAGTAAACGTAAAACAATGAATTGCAAGCGTCCCAGGTGGTGCCTCAGTCACGCAATCATGTTCACATGCATGTGAGGCCAACTTCGGCAGGCTTGCTGTTGGACATGCTTCGTCGCGCGAGCGGAGACAACGGCTGTCCGACCGAAACCGAAACCACGCCCCTCAGCTCCGTCGCTAACTTATCCCCAAAATTGTACACAAAATGTAACTTTCGAGCATGCGACAAAAACAGTCAGTGGCGCGTGCTTGCCAGGCCGGCAAACAAGGTACAAGCTAAACACACCAAAAATAAAGATCCTGAGTGCATCGATGCAAGACATTGCGAGCCTGCCTCAAAACGTTCTTGGAGCGCTTTGTGCAACGACTGAACTTGAGACAAACAAGCACGCTGTGCGGGTTCAGCGTGCAGACATTGCCTTCTCTGCTTTAGCTTACTTCTCTTCGCCAACTTTCTTTCACAGCAGATTTTTCACGTATACCGAGGACCCTCTCGAAAGAAAGAGGAATCTAGATAATCAATAATTTGACAGAGCTGTCTTTGCATTAAGGGGAGACACCCCCTGGGAGGGTCAACTTTTGAACCCTTGTCTTAAAATTAATGAAATTTACAGGGTAGGCTGGTGGTCATGCTAGAGGGTGCATAACAAAATTTCAGGTCTGTCGGTTACATCAGAAAGAAATTAGAGCAGCTTCTGTCAGCAACACGCCTACATTGTTTAGTTAATCTATTGTTGGAAAACTATCGCAATATTCAAGATTTTTGTTTGCTAGATATGTAGCAGAATGCCTTGGAGGTGCGGCTATGGAAAGTTTTTTGTAAAAGTAATTTATTTCTATTAATTTTCTCTTCTGTGAAATTGGTCAACTTTTTGGTCTTCTATGTCTTCGACACAATGTCAACATTTTTTTATAAAAGACATCCGGAAAGTGACAAAAAAAATTCCATAGCCGCACTCCTTATTAAATTTCAGTCTGGAAAAGTGAAGAATGAGCCTTCCCTGCATTGCCACTATCAAACGATAGATTGACTAAAATGGAACGGAGAAAAGTGGAACGGAGAAAAATGCATTTAAAGTGCTCCAAACCCTACCTTTTCTTTAGCTTCGGTGGGCAGAAAATAATTTATAAAAAATTAACTATGCAGTGTAAACTAATGAAAATATCTGGGAATACTCTCTAGATGTTGGTGGCAGTGTCCCCCCTTAAAGAGGGATTTTTGTAGTAACGTATGATTTAAACAAGAGCAGGAATGTTGATGAACATGCGGCGGTAGTTAGTTTCATTTTAGAAAGTACCATATCTGCAGTGATGTGGGGACGGCAACATTCGACGTCGCGCGACCACGGTGACTGAAAGGCAGTGACTAGTGACTGGAAGGCAGTGAGTGACTCCTGCCGCGCAAAAACGTGGTTTTGTTTCACAGCATGACGGCATAGCTGGTACCCGGCACGCATAGCATCGGAGTGTCTGCACACATCCGCGTCTATCGCTGAAAATATATTTAAAAAAAAAAAAAAAGAAGAGACGAGACCCACAAGAGAGAGTGCGAAACGCAATACGCCGGGAAAACCATGCAAGACCGGGTGGACAATTGATGTGCGGTACTTTGTGTCAGGTGGCTGCTTGCACCACAAAACACAAGCCTGCTCAAGTACAGTACTCAGTTTAGTTTCGGTTTTGAAAGGCAACCTAATTGGTCCTCTGGTGCAGATTATCTATATTTTGGCGAAATGTAGCAGGATGTAGCAGGGTTAGCCCCTTGGCACAGCAATCATCACTGCAAGCGTTGGTGGCTTCGCAACGAAAACTGTGAGATACAATTCTAGCCTGATTAAATTGTCAGATAGGTTGTTCTTGTACAAAAGTAGTTATAAGAGAAAAAAAAAGAGAAGAAGTATGCCGCTATGCGCACTTTTCTTTCGCGATACTGGTGAGCGTCACCATACGCATCGCCAGAGCTTGGATGAGTATCCCCCCCGCCCCCCCCCCCCCCTTTTTTTTTTCTTTTTAAATCAATGTTTCCAACAATACATTTGGCTTTTTTTTTTTTTTTTTTTGTAATGTTATTTGATTACTACTTTTCAGAATCCGTGCTCCCGCAAACTCACGATCTTCTCAAGCCACCGTGATTCACAAAAACATGTTAATTTGCAGACTTACGAGAAATACAAGGAGAATTAAGGGCACTTGAAAGGCTTTTATCGGAATCACCGACATTCAAAGAGCTGTACAGACCCTAGAGAAGGTAACTTAAGTTATAAACAAACTAAAATACAAAAGTTGGGGAGTTCTAGTACATCATTCCGATAATCCCGAACGCTATACCAAATACTCTGCCGACAATTTTGTGCATGCATTGAATCATATTTATCTACCAAAGCTGTCCATTGACAGTTTTTCTATCTCTTTGGTTCCGGGGCAAATGACCAGGGAAAGGGAACTTACATCTGCGGCTGCTGCATGGCCACTCCCATGGGGCTGCTGACCGACAGCAGGTCCCTCACAAAGTCATGGGCATTGGGCATGTCTCGGCGGGGGCACATGACCGTCCACGAGTCCAGCCGGACCGCCTTGAACATGGTCTTGTCACGCATCTCCCTCGAGAAGTCCGCGGTCATCTGGTTCACTTGCGACTGCGGAAGGAGCACGGATGTTGGCACACAAGGTCATGGCCAACGAGACAACCACAGAAATGATGAGCCGAGGCCGCAGGTCGCAGCTCCATGTCAATTAACCCTCTTTGCCTAAAAGAAGGGACATCCCTAAACTTCAGCTAACATAACAGGGTCACTAAAGTGGTTCCTGAGATTGCCTATTTATGGTAATAAAAACCCAAGATTAGAGTGATAAGCGTCCAATTAAAGAAACCACTTTAGTGCCCCTTTAAGGGGGGACACTACTTTGAATTGCACCTTTTTCTAAAAAAAAAAAAAAAAACGCATATTCAGAACTGCAAAGTTTTGGCATGTATGGATAACGAAGAACACACTCACAAAGTCTTGTCAATGTGCACTATATTGAAATTTTCTGGAGAACACGATTGTGTACTTTCTGCATTTTTATGCTCTTTTGTTATGAAAAGTTTATATTTCTTTTAAATTAAATGTACACCAAAAAAAACTTTTTCCATATTTTTTTTTGTGGATAAATTTTATAATTTTTGAAATTTCTTTTCATAGTTGTCTGAAGCAAGTATTCTGCTGTATGTTCCAGCAAAAAAACTGGCCATTTTCACTACCCTTTCTAAACGATAGCAGATACACTTTTTTTATTATATATTTTACGTAACTCATCGTGGGATAAATTTATAGGGTTGAAAATTTCCACAGCATCCTTGTCCAGTGCTATGAGTACACCCTGCACATTTCACGCAAACAAGACAGACGGTTCAAAAGTTAGCCTTCCGAAATAGTGTTTCCCCTTAAAAGGTACACAGGTCCGAGGCAAGCATAAAAGAGAACCAAGCGTAGACTGAGGCAAACGAAGTATAGGCTGGGGCAGAATTGCCCAAAATGTTTACGAACCCACTAGGTCAGTGCAACACGCTCACATTCTAAACGGAGACACGCAGAAAACTATAGCCGTCTCCCATGCGAGGGACTACGGCCAAAGTTACGGGTCACCAAATTCAACCGCGATCCAGAGAAACCGCGCTGCATGCTGCTCCGACATGCGTATCGGCGCACGCATCTCGGGAGCACAGATACAGATGTCAAAGCTTGACCCGGCGACCCAATGCTTTGGTTGTAGCCTTTCATAAGGCGAGACAAACTATAGCAAAACACAAGCCTGCGCAATTACGCTAGTTAGCTAGGCCCACTAAGACATCCCACTGGGAAGAAAAACAGAGGCGAGCAAAGATAAAAGGGCCAACTTGGAGACCAGCTTCAATGGAAGAGCAGCGAGAAGTCTGACCCTTCAGAAGACAGTCAGCCCTCACCTTCAGTCCGTTTCCATGCACCACCTTTTCTGGCTGCACTTGACGGGCATCCACCTCCACCAGGCTCTCGGTGAACTTGAGGCCCCACTGGTTCATCTCCTTGACCACCTGCTCATTCCTGTGAGAAGAATATCAAGGTACTTCTTCACCCTCACCTTCCATCCAAATTTATTGTTAGCAACCCTCACCAATACATTCACCTCAATTAGATCATGTTGAAATTCCATTGTTTAAAACTGATCTTTTTTTTTTACAAAAAAAAGAATTGTAAATTTTCCACCGAATGCCCACCCCCAGAAAGATCACTCATCCCGCCTTTTGGGGTAATATCCGTAACAGCGTTTACCTTCCCATTCCCGCCAGATATCAATGATGCGATGTCCGACGGGAATCGCATCGGCCGTGCGATCTGCGGTATCCATACTTGTGACAAGCGTGCTCGCCGCAGTTTCCCTTGTGTTTATAGCACCGTGAAAGGTGAATCTGTTGCATCCTCAATCTGCAAGTCCATTCTCATGACATGAAAGTTCGCAGCTTGTTCCCTCTTCTTTGGTTGTTGTTTTTATCCACGATTTACAAGCGCTATATTGGTTTCTCTAATACAAGTTTGTAGCTACTTCCTATGTTTGTCGCACCATGATACTCAAATCTACTGCATCCGTGACGCGCGGTATCCGTTCCCGTGACATGCGGGTTCATAGCGGGTTCCCACGCTTTTGTCCACAATCTGCGCATGGGATATCGGTTCCCGCGACACCGAAGTTTGTAGCAGGTTCTCGCATGTTCATCGCAATGCAAAGCGCAAATAGGTATGCATCCGATGGTATCCTGCGAACTTCAGGGGAGTTTGCAGCGAATTCTCGCAAACTGATCGCACTGCGGAATGCGAATCTGCTGCGTGCGCGAGCTGTATCATCAGCTTTTGGATGGCAGTCTTTTGGTGTGGGAAAGCCATTGGTGCCATCTCGCACCAATGGGAAGATCCCCAACAGTTCAAGAACGCCATAGCTAATAAATATACAACTAGGAGCCACTTTACTCCACTAATAATAACGCACTTTGATACTCCACCAATATAGTTTGCAACCACTCCACTCTCTAATGCCGTAAGCCCAAAGATTACACAAAAGAAACAAATGTACAATGTAGTCAAGGATAGGAGCACATGTACAAGACATCACCTGTTCATCTGCTGCATGAACTCGCGGAGGTTGGACACCCTCTTGGACGGTTCAAGTTTCATCTCGCTGGCCAGGTCCTTCATGATAGTGAAGTTAGAACGGATGTCGTCCGTCAGACCTGCACATATCACGTGCCGGCGTTGCTCTCGACAAAACCAACCTTGCAATGGAGCACGCCCCCAAAGACTGCTGCAGAAACCACTACTGTTGTTTGCCTATGAATTGCAATAGCATTTAACTAGGACAGTGGTTTTCAAGTGGGGGTCGACGAAGGCATTCTGGGGGTCCGTGGAGCCCTGCCTCAGTCAAATCCAACAGTAAAAGTTTTTTTTGTTTTTTTTTAGATTGAAAAGCGTTTCAAGTTTTGGGAGAGTTCTCTTATGTGCATGTCAACGAGAGAAGAGAAGTCTCTTGACCTTAAATTCATTTATTAAATCATTATCATAATTAACCTACACCTTTCCTTTCCCCTCACCACGAACAAGGCCCTCCATCATTTCCACCTCTCCACAGGTAGTATTAGACGACCTCAAGGAGGTCGTCTAAACTGACCTCTAGGGTGACCTCCTTATGCCAGATTTCTTCCCCGATGATCGACCACCGTATTTTTTTTTTTTTTGGCTGTTTTTCCGCAATATCACATTTACGCCTATTGCCAAGGAAGCGATCTGGTCTCAACTGTTCGAGCGGCAGCTCGGCGGTAAATCCAAATTTCTCTATGCCTGTTGTTTAAGAGCCGTAAACACCACACAACGCGCCTGTTGTCCCGCACCTTCCCGAAAAGAACTTTGTTGGTTTCATCGTTGGGACAGGGTACGGTCAATCCCCTCTCAAGCAGCCGTGCCCATGGTCACCCAACTTGTGAGAATCTGCCAGATTGAGTGAAAGTTTCCTAGTTTGGGATAGGTCTTCCCCTGTTGGGACGGGACTCCGGTGCCCCTAGTCTCCCGTCAGTGCTGAAGACGTAGAGCATAGCACAGTCTTTCCGCAGATTTTGGGTCCAGTGGCAAGGTTTGGCAGTGTAAATAAAAGCCTTACTACACAAACAAAAAAAAAAAATTATTGTTCAGGTTTAAACTTGCTTACAAAGACCAGTGAGCACAGAATGTGTCCCACACATATCACGTGCAGTTTGTGCAAGATTCTTTTTCAATCTTTCTATTATATTTTTAATCTCTTCACTTATTTATTACATTTGGTTTTTATTGTCTTCTATTGTTTTATTACATTTTTTATCAATTTCATACTATTGTTCTATTCTTATTGTTTATTTTATTTAATCATCTTCACCCAAAACCTGCTGCTCTTGCCGGCATGCTTGCATTCAAATAAAATAATATAACCTTCCAAACCAGCCGTAGTACTAGGAACTTGACGACTATGGCATCTGACCACCACCGCACCGTCCGGAGTTCGAGCCCCGCCAGGGCTCGAACTTTATCTATAACCTTAGCTTGTATAACGCTGCCAGCATGTCCCACCAATAAAACTAAAAAAAATTGTGTGTTAAGCGGCATTGATTTACGATTATACACACCCTCTCCCACTGGCCTAGCTTCCAATTTACTTGCTCAACTTTGTTCAACGCATCAATACGACGAGCATCCAGAGTTACGCACCAGTGAGGAAGCACAGCTCGGGGATAAGGTAGGTGTTCTCCGTGCGTCCCACACGAGTGTCCTTCTCCCTGGGACGGCACACCAGCAGCGGCTGGTTCACGTCGCGGATGTCCTTGTCATAGTGCTGCGCAGGAAAACACAGACACATCCCTGTGAGTGCACTACATGGAACAGCTTCGTAGCATTGCAACATTTGTTGAGAGTAGTTTCATTTTAATACGTCTTTAATTAAACGTAGAAATACATTTTGCAACTCAAATGTGTTGCCAAACACATCAACGAACTCAAGCAACTTCCTATCAATACTATTTTCAAACATAGAAGATCAATGCCTCATGCAAAACATATTGCAGAATGCTTGCCCTCACAACTAGCCAACGATAGAACCAGACTCACATCCTTGTAGTACTTCATGTATGTGATCGGCCCGTTCCGGGTTTCGAAGGTCTGCTGAGGATTTTTCGACCAATCAATGTCATCCACCCGGTACGTCTTGTTGTTGTATCTGCAAACGGCATACCAAACTTTCAGGAAACTGCCACTTGCACGCTGCCAAGCTCCTATACATGTGGCAATTGCAATTGGTGTTAAATTCCCCGTCGTCACTTGTTCTAAAATGGACTATTTTATTTTTGCAGCCGTTCTAATGAAAATTACTGTGCATACATGTTTCTTCTTCCTCATTTGAAATATGATATCAGTTTTAAAATACCTTAATTTGTTTTCAAGTTATAACAAACAGCATTGCCTAATTTGGTAATTTCTTACGGGTCGTTAAGGCCATTTCCAACAAAAAAATATTTCTTTGATTGATGTAGATGCATAGCTAAAGGTCTGCCATGCATTATAAAGCTATTTATATTTTCACAAAATTGCATTGTTTAAAAATGTGCTAATTGTGACACTAATAGGTCACATTATTTATCATAAAATGTTCTTTGTCATTATAAACTGTAAAAAAATAGCTTCACTCCGTAGACCAGTCCTTTCTGAATAAAACGGTATCATAATTTTCAGAATGCTATGATAACAACCTCATGAAAACCCCCATAAGGCTAAGCATGTTGACAAAAAACACGAAGCTGAGAAATTTCAAGTTCATACATTGAACATAGAAAAATGTGTGAAGAATGATAAATAATAATTGCCACCAAGGTGTAGTGCTTCATGAACATCTAACATAAAAAATGATGTAATCCATACATGGGCACATTAGAAAAAAACAAATTTGAAAGAATGGGTGAAATATTGTTAAAATCACATTTTCCTGTTTGGCACTGACTACAGTAAATTATGTGAAAACCCTTATGCAATAACAGTTATCAAGATGTAATGTAGTGCATTCTAAACAAACTAATTTAAACATTACAATAATTTGTTTTCGAGAACATTGCAAAAATGGTAAAGAATGACCGATATGTGCAAAAAATTGCTTGTAAAGTAACGAGCCAACAACTTTGAACAACGGGAGGGGCAAGCGAGAGTTTCAAGCTCCAAATACAATTTTGTTTGGCCTTAAAAAGGGCCCTTCTTTAACATGGCACTGGAAAATGCCATTACAGCTGTCCAGGGCTGTAATCTCGAGATGCTCCTGCCTTGTGCTGCTTGAAGAACCTTTCCTTCATGCTACTGCTCCTCCGGTGCACCGCGTTTGCTTTACGTAAACGGGGACTGTCCTTTTCGACGCTTCGGGGGACAAGGTAGTCACCGGTGGCGTAGCCCAGGCCTGCAGCAATGGACTCATTGGTCGCCCTCGTTCCCTGGTTGTAGACAGCAACAGCTTCAGCCGCAGCCCTCTTCATGCTGTCTAGGGAGGCATTCGCATTCTTTGAAGTCTGCGTCCAGATCATTGAATGCAGGTCTTCACTGCTGAGCCTATTAAACACTGGCTCAAGTGCAGCCCGAACACAAACCGGAGGAGGATTCTTGTGGGGCGGCAGAGCTTCACTGTTTGCCAAAGCCTTGCTGAACTTGCACCAGGACTCAGCTCTATCAGGGCGCTTGCTGTGGTCTGGGCCGCTGTCTGTGGAGGTCATGAGAGAGAGTGTGGCTTCCACTGCCCTCTTCATCCCTGGAACATATGGCTGTTGCTCCTGAAAGCCTAGCTATAATAGTTAGTGATTGTCTTGATATTTTCCTGCGTCAGCTTGCCTCTCCCACACAGTGATTCGCCTTGTGCCTTCTTCTCAACAAAGTTGCACAAGGCAGCTCCTATCCGCTCAGACATGGTTCACACAGTCCTTCTCTATCTTGATGAAGCTCTAAACCTTCGCTTCACACAAGGCATGGAATGTCCGGCTGACATCTTCCGAAAGAAAAGGTGGTGTAGCAGAGATCATGCTTGGTCAGAGACCTCTGAAGCATTGTGAGCGCAGCCTCCACCTCTAAACGGCCAGCATTGCACTCAATGTTCCTCTGGCAGTCGTGGGTTTCATACTAGCCGCTGTAGCCATCATTTTCGGGCTCGGGTCCCAAGGCACATCCAAGGCAAAAGTTGCAAGTATACCACATGATCAATGACGAAGCCAGAGTACAGCTCCACAATGCAGCATACACCAATGTGGGAGCTGCGTACAGCTCCCACATTGGTGTAGACGACGACGACATCAATCTTGCCAATGGGGTTTATGAAGCCTGTGTACAGCTCCTTGACCACAGCAACACTGGAGGCTTCACTGTCGGTTGCTGCATTCTCACAAGCCCACACAAACTTTTTCAGGTGTCCCTGGTACATCTTGTGTGGCAGGCCCTGATGAGATAGGTTCATGCGGGCACAGAAGTCTGCCAGGGCTGTCACTCCTTTGCCAATCGACTGGATCCCCTTCATGGCCCTCATGTTGACTTCAAAGGGAGTAATCTTGGCTGTTCCAGCAACCCTGAGAGACGAGAACTGCTTCTGGAAGTCACAAGCGCTGCAGAAGAGCACAAGTTTGCCAGCCAAGCCATATTCCTTGTCTGTGGCCTTGCTCAGCACGAGGGCTCCAGCAACACAGCTTCCACACCTCGTGTGCGCGAAGAGGTTGTTCAGGACTTTCATGACGACTATGACAAACTGGGTCCCAGCATTGCTTGTCTGGCATGATGCGTTGACCTCAAGCAGATCGAACTACCGCTGGGTAGCCGACGTCCCCGATAAGATGTGCTTGCATTGCTCATATTGCTCGGCGCGCTGCGCCGAGCGATCGGAGATGCGCGCAGATCTTTCAATATGCGATAGCGCAAATTCAGTTCTCTGCGATTGACTTTTTTGCGCTAAACTACTACAACAAGTTACCTGCACCACTAAAAAGTTTGCCGGTCCCGCGGACATCGTTAAAGGCGAAGTTGAGCTCACCTTGTCATGACTATGGAACCCACAACGGCCTTGATGGCCTCGTCCTTGTACGAGCCCCTGGCGCTCTGCTGCAGGGAGCCCAGAAGGTGGAGTACGTTCTCTGTCCGGAGCACCTTGTGGACAGTGTCCACCACCATGAGGATGCCACCATCATGCTGTCCCACAGCGGTCGTCAGACCTTCCCAGATCTCCAGGCTGCACGGCATGGACAACACACAGTTTGCAAGGGGAGCAGGGTCGTCCAAGTCGGAGGTTGCATACAACTCGGTTCATGCTTTGACAATCCGCAATGGAATGGAGAAGCCACTTCGCTCAGTTCTGATGCCAAGTCAAAGCTAAATCTGCAGAAGCTCTAAACTAATAGACTGCTTCAAGGTGAGCTCAAATTCCAGCGTAAATGTGCAAGAGCAATGGAAAATCAGAACCACTCGTGTCCGTGTGCTTAAAAACAATTTTTTTTCATGGATTTTCCCAGAAAAAACAATTTCGGCAAAAAAATTCAATTTAAAAAAAATGTCATATTTACATCCACCAACAGCTAGAGAGAATACCCAGAAAGTTTCATTAGTTTACACTGCATAGTTAATTTTTTATAAATTATTTTCGGTGCTCCGATGCTAAAAAAAGGCAGGGGTTGGAACACTTTGAAAACATTTTTCTCCGTTCCACTTTTTGGCATAAATTTCACTTTAGGAAAACTGTAGTTTTGTTATTACGTAACTTGAATTCATTTATATGAGTTGTTCTAGAGTGAAATTTAAAGAGGAAGATAATTAGGAGCTTGTATTTTAAATTTTTGTAATTTTTCATGCTCAAAAATTAAAATTTTGGACAAAGAATGGAAATCTAAAAAACAGTATTTGAGTTTATGTGGCGGCAAAAGCGTGCACTGGGATGCTACAAACACTAAAACATCACTCATACAGCGATATCTCAAACGGATGATCGTATTTTCTCAAAAAGGGAGGCACATTTGACAGGTACGTTCACGTCTTGTTTCTCCGAGGAGAGGGAACGGCCTCGCGTCTTCTCCGCCTCGAGGGGGCGAAGCGAAGAGAGGAGGAAACGAGATATCTTCACGTCACGCGCCTCATCGGCCTGGTTCGATCTCGACCTTTTTTTCCAAAAATACGGCCGTTGCCATTAAGGCCATTAAGGCTGCCAGTAAAGTGATGGAGAGTGAGGCACAGCCTGTCCATGAGGCGGCAATGTCCCGAGAAGATGAGCTTCTGAGTTCCTTTGTATATAAAAAGATAGGCTTTTTTCTTTTGTACTAATGATTATAATTCTTTGGTGACAAACTGTGATGCAACTTTGAGTAAACATGACCTTTTGAGCTGAAATTTGGCCTACCAGTTTTTTGACTAACATGCCGTGTGATTTTCATTGCCTCCCCTTAAAGGGCAACTCCGCTTCTTTTCCAGTAGTGCAAAACTATACAGTTCTCTTTGTTATCATCTGCAAAACCCCCATGGCAAATATTACGACGGAATTCCGCCTAGAAGTTGATTAAAATCGCTGTCAAAGTTTGACAAGCACGAATCCGCCGGTTTTGGATGAGACGTGCGGGCCAGACAACGCTGCCCAACTGCATTTCCGCTTCCTCCAAATTCCTTCTCCCGGCATGTCCGCGCATCATCAAACATGTACAGCTTCTTTTTTTTTCCCGGGGAGAGCACGGGTGGCGCCAGCGCCGTGAAAGACGTGAGTGACGCACTCGGCCGGCCCGGCGCTCGACTATTGATACTACTGATAAGCCGATCGCCTTTTGAGCGCGGCTTGTGTTACATCCCATACTTTTGAACACCAAGTAAAAGGGGGAGAGGGAAGCTACTTTTGTAAGAATTTTGAGTGACAGGTTAATCTTCTATAATCTTCTGGGAGGAGAATAGCGACGCCTGTGCTAATCCAGGAGGCACAAAGGAGGATCCTGATAATAGAGGAGCTCCTTCTTCCCCTTGTATATCACGTGGTTGTACATGCTTAGTGATGCCGAATATACAATGTTGTCCGGCTTTGCCACCATTTCGGTTTCGGTTTGTAATCATGGCTAGAGTAAAATTACACGAAAAATATTTTATTTTACGCGAAACAAAGGATTGGGGATTGTTTTTGAGTGCTTCAAAAAGCAAATTCGGCCACTATCTCAAAATTTTTGAAATCAAGTGGAGTTGCCCTTTAACCGAACATTGTTTATAGCAAATTTTTGTAAACAGTTATATTTTTGCAGCAAAACAGAAAACCTCATCTTGTTTCGGGGGTTATCCCTCCCGCTCTTCTACTTGGGCAGTGCCTCACAGCAATAACAACATAAAAGGCGTGATGAAGGCACTACAGCATACTGGCCTGAACCGCTGCATCCCTTTTAAATTGACACAGCTGAAAAATGTATTTTCTGCCAGGCGATTTATTATAGTGTCGGAAGGCTGCCCAACCAATACTTTGCTGCGGAGTCCCACGTGACCAAGCCCAGCGGTCGTGCATAGTTTTGAAATTGGCGCCGCTAAATGGCGCAGCATTGGTTGAAGCGCTACTTCTCGTGAAGCAGAGCTTTGTAAAAGATTTCTTTAATTGTCATCCGATGAAAAGCTAAAGGCTATTTTTCCAAAACACCTTTTCGCAATTCTAAGATGAACATTCTCTTCCCAAGAGATCGCATGGTAAACTATGTGCAGCACTCACCCGTGGCGACTGATGGGCTTGGGGCCAGCAGCATTGAAGAACTGGCGGCGGATCTGGACAAACTTCATACTCTCGAGGTTCCTGCACAACGTACCAGGAGCTGTCAGTGTTGCAGCCAAGATAATGATCTTCCACACTGCTACAATGCAAACCACACACCTTAAAGGGGTCATGAAACGATTTTCCTACTTCTTCCTCCTTAGCTTTAATCCTCAACTCAAATGCGAATTGTGAAATCACGTGGTCGTAACATTCCTTCGGCACAGGTGCGATGACTCCTAGATTCCACCGTGCTTTTTATGCACACCATAGAACTTGTCATTCCACAGTGACAATAAGTTCCGTCGGGGCACTCATTGGCCACGAACGCGAATCCGAATATTTGTCGACAGATTGATTGTTGACGAGCGCATACGTCCAAGTGACGCAGTTCTCGTGTCCAATGCGTGAACTGGGCCCTGATGACGTCAGTTTGGCGCCGGTGACGCGCTTTTGGAACCGCGGATGTATTATAGTGAAAAGGCGGAGAGCTTTCGAAGGCAAGAAGGTACAAAATAGTCCGCTATATTTTCAAAAGTTCGTACCGAAAAGCTGGCTTTTGACTTTCTAGCCTCTTTCTTTTGACCAACTAAACGATATGCGATTAGTAAAGTCCCAATTTAAAATCATTCATCCCAACCCAAAATTCGTTTCATGGCCCCTTTAATCATATCCCACACAGCCAGCGCTCTAGCCGCTCGTTTCATAAGGTGACTAAAGTTCCCGTCCCGACATAGTTTCTTTCTATGACAATGCCATACCTGCCAACTTCTAAATTCGTAAAACTTTCGCAGCCGAGAGGGGGGAACTGGTAAGCTTTATTTTCAAAACCTATCATGTCCGACTGGTTATCCACGGCCCGCACAAAGCATAGATGTTTACGCGAAGCAACGTGAACCTTAATGTCAGTCTTTCCATCGTGCTAAACGTTTAAATCACTGGTAAATGTGGTGCAAAATCCAAACTTCTCCCCTTTCTTGGACGGCACGAAGCACGGTAATTCCGACATCCACAAGTTCAAAAGCACTCTAAAGTATTTCTTTCGAGGATTAGAGCATGCAATCACGCTGCGAAGCTGCTGCAACCAGAGGACAGACATCAGACAAGCACAGGCGCCCCACTACGTCAGACACTGCAACTTGTTACGAAGTAAGTTCAACAAGATCCATGGGATCCACAACTATGCGACTAGAGTGGACCAGGAAACGCGACGGGCTTTGGTTCAGATTACTGATCTCTATGTCTATTTGCTGGATCGTGTTTGACCAGTTCCGCCTATGGACGGGAATGCGGCCACAGTCGGCCATCTTTTTGGTAGAGTTATATCTAGCCATCATAGTAATATGGCGAACAGCACTGTGGTGGCAGGCTGCCATAAAAATAGCCTTGGGTCTAGTACACTGTACCGTGGATGATATTTCGTGCTTGATTGAAGCTGTCCGACGGAGCAGATTCTTGAGAGTTCCACGAAAGCTCAACACCGGTGCTGCGATTCCGTGAAACTCTCACCGGGTCCTCAAAGATTGGGCTACCATTCACGCCGGGTTTCAACAATATGTTTCGTCGAACAATTTCAATCAAGAACGAAATATCACCCACGGCTATTTTTATGGCAGCCAGCCAGCCACAACTGCCACGACATTCTCTGTATGGATGATAGTGGCTACACCAGCTGTACTTTGGCTAGAGGTAATATAACTCCACCAAAAAGATGGGTGCCAGAGGCCGCATTCGCGGAGCGGGCAATTGCGATCCAGCAAAAAAAAGAGATCAGTGGTTTACATACGGATCCGCGATCGGCGGACAGGCAGATAGCTGACACTATGCCGTCTCTACAGATACTGCCTTCCACCCGCTTGTGACGGAAGGCACCACAAACAGCAGCATGTTTTAAAGTTTTTCTTCCTCAATTTTTGCATCAAGATTTGATGCAAACCTTGAGGTTAAGATTTGTAAAATTGTAGAACGAGTTTCAATTCGTAAATGTTACAGAAAACTTGGGAGAGCCAGCAGCATACCTCGGCAAATTCATTCATGAACTCGCTCATTCACCTTCATTCACATTCACGGCGTGAATCTGAATGGCTCTGAATGAATTCTTGAAATTGAAAAATATCATGATATGATGGTGAATGTCTTTGTGAATTTAAATGAATTCGTGATGTGATGGTGAATGACTTCGTGAATGTCAATGAATTCGTGACGTGATGGTGAATGAATTCGTGAATTTGAACGAATTCGTGATGTGATGGTGAATGAAGTCGTGAAGTCGTGATGTGATGATGAATGACTTCGTGATTTTGAATGAATCTGTGATGTGATGGTGAATGGCTCGTGAACACAATTGATTTGTGATGTGAGTGGCTCGTGAAGTTGATAAGTTTGTGATGCATACCTGCCAACCTGTGGGCTTTTAAATTGGTAGAAGTCCCGCAGCCGCGGCGGGGGGGGGGGGGGGGGGGGGGGGTACGCGAAGCGATGTGCAGAATAATGTTAGCCTGGTTAGCGCGCGAAACGCTTACATCACACGTGCACGTGCTACAGATTCTAAACTTCTCTCGCTTTTTGGGCGGCACGAAGCACGGAAATTTCGACGTGTAGGACTTTAGGAACGCCTGAAAGTACCTCTTTCGAGGTTTGAAATTCGGCATTGCGCCGCGAAGCCACAGTGACCAGGAGAATGCTACAGTTGCACGTGCAACAAACACAGACGCCGTACTTCTCGCCTCGAAACTGGCCAAAGCAACGAGGCCCAACAACGTCTAAACACGACGAACCAACGTGCACCCGTGCACCGCCAAACACACGAACAAAGGCTTTGAGCTTTGGATTGGTTTTCGATCCGTGGCCACCGGATAGACGGATGGTAAAAACCACGACGCTGCTGTGGACGGTACCTTTCGTCCTCTTGTGGCGGTGCAAGATACCGCCAACAAGGGAGTTACAAGAACAAAACAAAAAAAAATAAATGAAGAAAATTAAAAAAAATATATTTTTCGTAAGATTTGAAGCAAGATTCGTAAAATCGTAAAATTAGTCCCAATTCGTACATTTTACGAAAAATTCGGAAGAGTTGGCAGGTATGGTGATGGGAAGTAATACCGTGAACTTAATTCTCGACGTGATAGTGAATACGGTTATTAAGTCAGAATAGGTGGAAAACATGTTACGCAGGTGCTTGTTTGCTTGCTGGTTGTTTTCATCCTTCACCGCAAACGACAGGAACCGATTTTACTTTAGCGGTTGGGGCATCAGTCTCGCCATCGAGATTCACACATTTATCAGCGACCACCGCGGTTTCCCGTTGCCCGTTGTTCGGAAGTGCCATAATTTGCGCAGTGAATGTTACGGCAATGTGAAATGCGGGACTTTTTGAAGATTTGGGAATTTCTTGCGGGACGCAGGACACGAGTCCTCAATGCGGGACAGTCCCGCGAGTCGCGGGACGGGTGGTCACCCTAAGCTGACGTCACGAGCAGGCGCACCTAATCCGGCGCCGAGACCATATCACGTGACCTGCCGGTTCCGCCTGGCGGCGCATAGAACAAGTTCACGTGACACGATCGCAGCGCGGCATTGGCTGCGTTGGCGCTCTATCAATGTGCTTTGAGTTTCGCACACTCGAAATACCCCACTTCCCCAACGAAGTCAGGTCCTGGTTTCAAGTGGCTGACATAAAAAGTCGCCACAGTCCTATCCCGCAAGAACTGCGAACTCGTGAAGGGCTGCCAGCCGTGAAGTCAAATTTAGTCAGAATGAACCTGAATGAGTTCGTAAATTTATGCGTAATTCATGATGTGATGGCGAATTCCGGTGAATTCGTGTACCGTGATGGTGAATAACTTCGTGAAGTGATGGTGAATTCGGATGAATTCATGGTGTGATGGTGAATTCGGATGAATTCGTGAAGTGATGATGAATTCGAATGAATTCATGATGTGATCGTGAATTCCGATAAATTCACGATGATGAATTCCGATGAATTCGTGGTGATGGTGAATTACTTCGTGAATTGGTGCTGTGATGGTGAATGACTCCGTGAATTCGGAGGCGGCGGTGATGTGATGGGGATCAATTCTTGGCGCGGTTGAACGCCGTGATGTGAAGGGGATGAATTCTCGGCGGAGTTTGAAAGCCGTGATGTGAAGGGGAGGAAGTTTTGGCACGGTTGATTGCCGGGATGTGATGGGCCGTGACTTTGGGAGGTCCGAGTACCTTGTGACGTGAATGCGAATGAATTTGGAGACGTGATTTTGTTCATGATGTGATGGTGAATGAAGGGGCTCTAAAATGCCGACCTATGGCCAGCAGGTACGCAATGCAGCCCCATATGATTCTATCACACTCACTTCCTCTTTTTCTTCCTGTATTATAACTGTTAATCTTTTTTTGACTGTCACAGGAGTGGAATCAAAAACAATATCACAAAGGCTACACTTGCCACAATAACATAAAATGAAAGTCTAGAAGCTTGACAGTATTTGCAACATCAGGTGGCAATTTATTCAAATCAATTGTTCAAGCAAAGGAACGGAACTCGAGCGATGCTTCAAACGGGCGACGGTCAAGAGGTCACTCACCGGCGCATCTGGGTGTTGAAGATGCGGAGGAGCTCGGGGTTGTTGGGTGCCAACTCCTGAACGTGCTTGACGGTGATGCGGATCTGGGACCCGTCCGACCGACGCTGGGAGTACAGCTCCGTCACCTAACGAGAAGACGGCCAAAGAAACACCATCGTTGCACAATGATGCAACAAGATTTGCTACTTTCCCACACTACTGTGGCAAAGAAATTGATAACAAAGAATGTATTAAGCGTTTTTTCGCCGCAACGTCGCAGGTGCATTCGGTACACATTTCGTGATTTGACGGCGCAAACATTGTAGTGCATGGCCTTGCCAAAGCCAGCGCTCCAGCTAGAGTAGAACGCAAAGCTGGAGCCTCTCGCAGTCGCACGCCCCAGCTTCAATTTCCGCTAGTTTGCATCATCCAAGTTCCTCCAAAGCATGTGTTACAGTCGAACACGGATATAACGAATTCAAAGGGGATCATAAAAAATTCGATATATCAAAAATTTGATATAGAAAAATATGTTAAATTAAGCTCGAGTTGAAATTTCCTGGCATGTCTGCTAACACCGAAGGTCGCAACAAACCAGAGCTTACCAATAGAGCATCCAAGAGCCGCTAAATACCGTAGAGCGTAGTTGGCGGAGACCGTAAACACCGCCACGCTTACACGCACACCTAGCTGGGACCTCCACACAGCATAAATGACAAAACACAAAAATCGTTTAAAAAAAAAGGGGGGAAAAAAAACCGGAAAAGCAATAACGGGGCCAGGGAGTTTCACAGCATCGCAGTGTTCGGGGAAAGAGCGCAGGCTACCGTTCCGACAGCGGGCACTCCCTGCTTTCCCTATAAACGTGCACGTGTTTTTGCTTTTGCCATCCTCCACTTTTTTTTTTTTTTTACAGTCCACTGTTTCTTTTTTATTGCGTGCATGCTGGCTTGGTGGTCTGCCAGCCCTGCAACACAAGCGATGTGCTAGCCACCAGCGCAATCGAATCGAGAGACAAGCAACCGGCGGCCGGGCTTCGTTCGTTATATTCAGTGTCCCCGCCATGGGAGTTCGATACAAAAGACAAAATAGCCTTGGGTCTAGTACACAGTATGATTTTCAAGGGGATGTTTAAACTGTTTGATATAAACAATAATTCAAAATACCCGTGTGATATAACCCGGCTCGACTGTAGTTCTTTTAAAAAGGCAGGATCAAGAGGGGAAAGAACCGACCTTGTGCTCGAGCCGGGTGGGGCTCTTGAGGTCTGACATCCCGTCGAAGATGTAGCTGCCGCCAAAGCGGTCCCGGTGGTCCCTCAGGAGGCCACCACGAAGGCGGGACGACTCAATGTTTGGGGCAAACTCCAGGTGGTACTGCTGGATGGCCCAGTTGGGCATCGTGAGCAGCTTGAAATAGTTGGACAGGAGCTTCACCTGCTGACCCGAATCACCTGCAATGAGAAGGGGTAAAGCTCAATCCAGGTACCCGTCATACCACCGCCTTCCTAGGCAAAACAAAAAATTCAACAGTTTGCGAGCCAACCCAAACTTTCAGACCTTTCACGTGCAACCGAGAAAAGCTATGCATTGCCTACACCGCAATTAACGTTCATAAGAGTGCAAGCAGGCACTTTGACCAACATATCAAGCAGTCAACTGGTGGTCCATAGGCTCCCTATCGCCTCAGAGCCACTAGGCTGCCTTGTAAGTTCTGTACATCAACACACGGGGCTGACATCACGCCGCCGCGGTGGCACTGTTATTGGTGCAGCGCATGCACAAATGAGTCACCTCAAGAGCGTCCGGTTTCTGCACCCGTGTCGTGCCCACACCTGGTGTAGATAAAAACCACCTTACCCTCAAGCTGGGGGAGCAGTTTCTTGGAGCAGTATCCCAACAAAAAAATATTGGATCGGGACCCTTTCGCAATCCGCTCTTAGTGAACAAGCTCAAAAATTGATGTCTCTAATTAAAAGTAATCTAAAGTAAATAGAGCCTAATTTTCCAGGAACCAGCCAACTGAACATCCTCTAGGGCAGCAGTATAGAAGTGTTTCTTTCAGACTGAGAAGAACCGTTCCAATTTTCGGGAGAGTTTTCTCATGTGTATGTCAAAGAGAGAAGACTACTTCACGCTCGCCCTTAGTTATATGCATTTATTAAATCATTATCATAATTAACCTATACCTTCCTCTCACCACAAACAGGGTCCTCCATCACATCTGCCGATCCACAAGGCGTCCGCGAAAAATCAATGGTTGAGACTGCTCTAGGTTTGCCCGAGCCCCCAAATTCTCTCAATCGTCCCTCCTCTAAAGGGGAGTGTTTGTAAACTTTAAGCAGAATTTTAGTATGTCTGAGCCATGCCCTGATGCACAGCTATAAGCCAAACACATTATAGTACATGCATCGTTGGCTAATAAAATTGGTCTCATTCAAGTGCAGCACTGCAAAGGGGGCAAGGGTTCCCCCGTCGTCATTCGAGGCAGGTGATCAACCCTGACACCCCAAGCTTAAAAGTCAAAAACAAAGATGGCGAGGGTGTACGCACCCTTCTTGTCAGTGATGCGCTGGGGCCTGGTGGCCAGGATGGCCACCTCGTCCCTACGACCCCTGCGGGCCCCCCTGCCCGCTGTGTCCCCTGCAGCCAGGCTCATGGCCCCCATCTGCTGCACGGGCGGGGCCACCTCCCCTGGCCGGGGCAGAGCCCCACCCCCCATGGCGGGGCGCCCGGCCCTGCCTGCCCCTACGTGGGGTGGGGGAGGGTACGCCGCAGCAGGAGCGGCCGCACCGGCCATGGGCGGCTGGAACGACGGGGCCTGAAACAGAAAAAAGCGCGTCGGGGCACGGTTCCTCTTTAAATTCTTCCCGGTTTCTTGCCATGTCCTGCAAAATGAACTGCGGCGACCACAAAGGTGCTGTGCACGCTACTCCACATGGGCTATATGTATTCGCGCAGCACAGAGGCCCTTCCCCACCGAACATGACAGAGTCACGCAACGCCATGCTGCATGGCACTGTGACACCACATGACACCAGGTGCCATGAACACCTTAGATGAAACACCCAGGGAGCTACTGTGAAACCTCACTTCTGTTCACATAAAGAGAGCAATGCCATTTGGGATGAGCAAAGTTTCTGTATCGGTGCAAGAACACCAACGAGCTCCACCATTTTGTCTCCTCGAGTTAAAGGCACAAATTCGTTACAACGGGCAATCCGATTCCTATTCCCTCCCTTTCCTGGGCCCGCAAATAGCTTTCAGCACAAACTTTCAGACCCTAGCTTGTAACTTTGGGTCAGGCCTCTACTTGGGGAGGGTAGTGTAAAATGTCCTCTTAATTACAAAAGTGCAAAATACAAGGACAGAACAAAGAATGAACAGGACAAGTGCTTACTAACAAACAATTGTTTAATGCGTGATAAGAGAAAGACGAAAATGAGAATTATTAAATTAAAATGCAAATTGTATTTGCACGTAAAATGTTTAAAATTTATTTGATAAAAATTTTCACAAAATTAAATTGAAAAAAAAAAGAGACGGATAGAAAAATAAAAAGGAAAAAAAAAACAGCCAGATTAAGAAAAAAAAGTGTCCTCTAGACTCAAGCGGTAAAGTTTCAGGTGGCACGTATTTTTCCTGTCCGATGATTGTTCTTCTGCCAGAACTTTTTCTCGAGCCCGGTCCAGGCGTGAACTAGCATAAATGTGTTGCATGAAATCACACTTGGAAAGACAGAAATACCAACCTATTAGCCTAATGGTTAAAAACAAAATGAAAAGGATGTCACCTTTCCCAACTTTACGAATGGGAGGGAAAAAAATGAGGACTGAGTACACTCTTTTGGAAAGGAATAGGGCTGTTTGAGATTGCAAAGGCCCTTGTTTTGCTCACGAACGTTCAGTTCACTTCCTTTGCTTCTTTATATTTCTGCCGATTGTGAACCTAGAAGAGCTGTGACTCTGCCAGTGGTAACTCATCCAACTTCTTCCTTGTATTTGTGAGTGGATAAGCAGTGTGTAGCCTTTCTTCTTGAATGATTCAGTTTCTGTCTGTTCACATCAACCCATACTATTCTGATATTCTGATGCAAGAAACTTCCTTGTTACCAATCGTCCTACGAGAAACGGACATCTGACAAATGGGCTGCGGCCCTACTGGGGTGTGTGGCATAAGCAGACACTGGAGATGCAAATATAAAATTGATCAAGCAGGGCCAGGCTAATGGTTGGAAAACCAAGTGCGATCAGACCCTTCACAAGGCTAGGTGCAGTGTTCTAAAATAGTCCTTGACCTTGATAGATATAACAGACTTTGTTAGCTCCTTTATTTTTGGCATTGAAGATGGTCGCACCACTGTGAGCAGTTGTAACGAGCGCATATTTGCTTAATTCTCTTTACCTGCACCTGCTGCACACCGCCGTATTCGATTTGTGAATGTAACCTATCTCAAAGCACCCCAGAAGTAGAATGCCTTGCACTTTTCTGCACCGGTGCAGGTGAATCGAACGAGCCCACTGTATCAAAATGTCTACCAAATTGTTATTTTCTTGTTTTGTTTTCCATTTTGTTTTTTTTAGGTTTCCCTTGACTGTTTTAATTAAATTCCCTGACCCACACCCAGAAACTATTGACACCAAAACGCAATATATTATAGATGGGCACTATCCACAATGTAAAATATTTTATTTAAAGGGACCATGAAATGACTTTTTTACTTTTTCCAGATAACTTTTACATTAAACCGTCAATGTTCACTGAATGCCGAACAGGCATCCGTTTTCGTCTCAGTTTATTAACTTCTACACAAAAAAATGAAATATCAACTTTTTCTTGACCGCAAAACAAGCCATGACGTACGCTGCTTCCGGAACCGGAAGTTCTCTCGGCAGTTGGAGATGGGAGCGTTAGCGGCGACGAGTTGGGGTGTGCCGGTAGGTTTTACTGCGCCGATGTCACCGACGTATTTTCTGAATCGGCGCCTCTCATCGCCGCATCGCAGCTGAGCGAAATTCAATGAGATACGTTGCGCTACAGCGACAGCATACGCCGTTATGCCTGTTGGGAAGTGCAGCGAGTCTTCCGGTGAAGACTCCAGAAGTTAACCCAACTGTCATTGTTGGTAAAAGGCGGCCAGTGTCAGTCGTTTGCAAAGCGACGTAGATGGAAACAAATTGCCGCGGCGTTTTTCGCGGTCTCGGAGATGCAGGAGCGAGCCGACGTTAAAAAAGATACGTTTGAACTACGAGTGTCAGCAAGAGCCACGTAAATACCTGTTCACACTCGGAGCGGACGTGCGCGTTTGATGGAAGTGCTGTATTCGCGCTGTTGGTAAGCGCTTCGGGACCGATCTTTTACGATTGCAACTCGATACTGACGCGACACTCGGCAAAGAAAGGTTGGACCGGTATTGCGCGTATACCTCCCACGAACTGTTACAGCTCGACAGTGACGTGCAGTCTGTCAGAATGAAAATGGCATACCAATAACAAAGTGTACATACCGTGTTACGAAGGTAATCCATACAGCGTTTATTTCAGCTCTATATCACACAAAACAAGAAGAGAGAATTGACGAGGGTCCCTTCTCGACGAGTGTTCGTCAACCCTGCCTCGGAAAACAAGGGGAAGAGATTGACCTCACCTCTTAACCTAAAATTGAGGTCAGCGATCAAACTATAATACGGGAAGGGTCCACAAGGGTACCGCGGGCATATTCCATTCAGCACGCCAGCCGGTCGTAGGCAGACAGACGGTCTTGCGACGAAGCAACGCTGCGCCGAGTCGGAGTGCCTGCTAGGCCTATATCCTGAGAGCTTCGTAGGAGCGGGATTCGCGGCTGTTGTCGCTCTTCTCGGGTGTTTGTGGATCCAGCGTTCTTGTTCGTCGTGGTCTGTTTTAAGTACATTTTTTTCTTGCTGCTTGAGGTCGGCACGCGCGAGATGAAGACGTAGAAAAATAAACGTTCAGTCAGTCAGAGTTCTGAGAGGAAGGAAACCAAAAGAAATCACCGTTCTGAACTCGGCCCTGCCCTACTGCGCACGCGCAGTGGTTGCTTCGTTTACCACACGATAGATGGCGCTTGGCTCTCAGCATTATCAAATTTGGCAATTTTCGCCACACATCTCTAATTATGCTACAAAATGTGGATCTGAATATTATTTAACAAAACTTTTAGGAAACATTCGCCGGCTATTTATTGTTTACGATCGCGGTGCTGGTGAGGTAGGCTCTTACCCAATAGGCGACCTGGATTTGGCTGACGTGCTCCATTTCCGCGGATGCATCGTAGTGAACAGGCGAAGGAAGGAAGGCGCAAAAGAGTCCAGTTTTCTTTTAAAAGTTCTATAGCAAATAATTTTTTTTTGGCTCCCTAGTTTTGTGTTTTTGTGTTTCTTTTCACACCTTTTACGACGTGCGGTGGATGAAATTCGATTTTAAAATCATTTCATGGTCCCTTTAAGTTAGATAAAGCAACTAACTTCACTCTTGAACATGTTTAGAATACAGCATTGACCAGAGCTTACTGTTTCAGGGAGTGGATTTCTCCATTAAAACGAGAAGCCTGCAACTGTGCTTCGTTTATGACCCTTTGCTTCTTTTGTTGAAGCTCCTTGACTAGAGTGGCCACCCTCTTCTTTCTTTTGGCCCCATTTGCATCCAATCTCTCTAGCCTTTCTTTGTGGCTCCTCCTTCCATTGGACATTGGCACCACGAACCACTTGCACTATCCTGTTTGTAAGATCAACTTCGGCCACCCCTCCCATTGCTGAGACTCCATCCTACACTATCTTTGGGCTATCAGTGACTCTTCCTTGAGATTTTCGACAAGGCACTCTTGTTCACTTAGAATCCCCGTTCCACAGCTGTGTTGCCATGAGACAAGCAGAGAATGAGCTTGACAAACGAAAATAGCTCCTTTGTGGTCCCGTGAACACAACTCAAACCAGAGGGCGTCCAGCCACTGCTCTTTCCTGTCAAAGTCCTTTAACGCCACCTGTACAGAGCTGAGTGAGCATATACCTACATAGGAACGGTGGGTTCGCTCTGCTTTTAAGTCAGGCATCCACTGGTGCTCCGTTAGCACCTCCAGTGCAATGCACAGTTGTTTCTCACCAACCTCCGGAGACAACGCACTAGCCAGATCCAAGCAGCTTGCGTCTCTTGTCAACTTGTATTTCAAAGGTGACCTTTCTATCACTTTTTGTGAACATTTCTTCACGAAGGAAAGTCTTTTTTGAAGCTGAGCACAGTCAGTTGCGATGGTTTCCAAATCTTGCAAAGCTCATTCTTAGCAGCAAACCCAATGTCTAATGCAGCAGCTGCAACGACGTTGTGAGGCTTCTCCAAGTCGATCCTAAGCAGCTTGAAAGAGGTGTTGGCAGCTTGTAAGATATCTTTCAGCTTGACAGATGTGCTGGCAGCTTGTAAGACATCTTTCTTGACGACTCTACCCAGCAATGACTAAGAGGTGATCCAGCGCAAGGGCAAAAAGGGAAAGCATGGGCTTGTCTGTCTGGAATTCAGCCAGAAATGGCTCAAGTTCTTCAAAAATCGAGAGCATAAAGACCAATTCCACTGGCAGCATCTGGTCACCTACCGGCTTTTCAAAAGGGCTGTAGCTAGCACATGCTGGCTTTTTCTTTTTGCTTCCTTTGAGCATTTCACAAATTTAACCAAGTTTGGAATAACATCCAAGGGCTCTTGAAATTACCTTGCTATTCTCCAGCTACCTTACTGAGCAGAACTTCCCAATGGAAACAGAGCACTTCTCGTGAAATGGACGTTGTCTGCACAACGTGCTGACAAACACTTGAACAGGTTATAGCTCCCACTAATCCCAGTGCGTTGCAGCATGGCCTGTTTTGAATGCACCACTGACGACGTGGAATCCACAGCTTCCAATGTCCAGGATCTGGTGATTGGTGTCGGAGGCTCTAAGAGTCTTTGAGGGTCCTCAGGAACTTCAAATTTACGTTGGGTTTATCTATTAACACTTTTAGTATCTTTGTCTGGTTAATGACTTCTGTGCCCTTGCTAAAAGCAAAAGCGAGATATGCTGCGCAGGTGTGCCCAGGAAGCAGGAAGTTAAGTAGGCATCCATTTGTTCTCTCTGGGTAACTTTGTTCAGTGAATCATCAAATGCAACCACCATATACGTCACGCTAGAGATAGGCTTGCTAGCAACTTCCCTTGAATTGATATGGATTGTATGGATTGATACCATGACATATGGTGTATCCCACTTTGTCTTTTCCAAGCTGCATTTTTCTGGCGGTCTCACACAAGGGGAAAATCAACGAAAAAAGCGAGGCAGACGCTGCCGCTAAACGGAAAAATCCAAGAGTCATTTTTGTGTTCAAGGACCACATGATCTTGGCCTTTGTGACTTCATTCTTCCGATAAAAAGCCACCCACCAACGTTTTCACAGAGGGGCTTGCCTTCCGTGGAGGTGGCAAGACACATTGCTGGAGCGCTACAAGCACTAGCGCTACCTCCGGACAAAACGCCCATTGCTGCCACGGAAGGCAAGTCCACATTTGTCGCAGTCGTGAAAAATGATGCGATTGGGGTCTGGGAAACGCTTTGCAGACATTTAATAGCAGCTTGACGTTTCTTACCTTCAACATGTCTAGTAATCAATCGCCCTTTTCCCCCATGTTGCCCAGGGAAAATTTCTTGCAGCACCTTGTGCAGTGAACACTATTTGGATCATTAAAGGGGCACTGACACCCCAAAGGTCGTATTCTTTTTTATTGTCTAAAACGATGCAAGACACGCAAAAATAGACACGCAAAAAAAAACGCATCGCGACAAAATATTTTCCTGCTCGCGCGCGCGCCTTTTTCTTTTTAGCGTTTATATTTCCCGCGCTCACCTCCTTGCTTCTTTTGATCGGTGACGTCAAAAATCAGGAAATTTAGAAGCTTTGTAGGCGACATTTCTATAACATTTAATAACGGCAATCGCAAAGCATGTTTTTTAACGCAATTGCGCACACACCACGGACTTTCTTCTTGAAATACCAAAAATCAGATTTTGGTGTGATGTCGCTTCCTGGTTTTGTATGCTCCCTCGGAAAACTTGGCGGCGCTCGAGTAGAGGCTTATCGCAGAGTCGGGGAAGAAACCGGTTTTTCCCCGCGCCGGCGCCTTTCTATCCCGCCTGCTCACCTCCTCCTCGCTTAGGGTCGGGGTAGCAACGGCGTGTGCTTCACAGCGTGGAGCGGAGGTCCAAAAGAAAGTCGAGTCGCAGGAGACCGCAAAATTTGACTCACTGCACAGGCGCGGATCGCATGGGAACTTCAAATTCGGCATTTGGAAATTGTTTTTTAAATTCAGAAATACTGAATTCCCAAGTTTTGAATTTTGAGAGTAATGTCCAGGCATCATTTTCAATCGTTTCGGATAATAAAATATGATTTTGATGTGTCAGTGCCCCTTTAAGAACAGGCCGAATTCAACTCGCATTCGTGGATATTTCCCGGTTTGTCCAGTCGAGGTTGAAGGATCACTTCTTTGACAGCAATATCTCCACTTCAGGAAAATGACACAATAGAAAGCCCTACCCAAAGCCATAAACACACGTGGCAGAGCTCGTAGAGTGTAGGCGTCCAGTAGCGTTTACGGGGAAGCATGAAAACACCATATCTGACAAACTAATGGATCGCTAGGCACACGTCTCTCAGAGGGTAGAATAACAATGGCTGTCCTCTTCTGAGTGAGTGGAGACTCGCGCCACCTAGTATCGGCTAAGAGTAACTGTTTGTCCTGCGTCGCAATAACGCCGAAGCGTACTAGAGCAACACCACCTGACTAGAGTCGCTAACTAAGCAAAAAGGCCACTGCTACTCTTAAGTGTAGCTTATTTAGTGGTTCTAGAGTGTACTAGAAGAATGACGAGCTGCCAGCTTTGCACAAGCTCTCGTGCGATGCGCAGCACATGGAAAGTTGGCGTAGTGGCGCTGCGGCCGTGCCCGCCCGTCAGCTAGGGCGTGTCGTGTCGCGCCTAGGGTGCCTTCATGAGTTGCACCTGGTTCGCGGCGTTAGCAGCATCCTCCAGCGTTCACACAGCAGCTGGCTCACGGTGCGCGCAGCTGCATGTAGCGGTGTTCATCAGCGTTTGCGATAGCCATACTCCGCGTCACTGCATCGCGACCAAAGCTAGTTCGATTGCAGTGCCGCCAAGCCAACCTTCGACACTCGGTATTTGGCACTTAAACCGGACCCGGCGGCTCGTCCCACTCAGACGTTTCTATAGCCGGTTACAAGTCAAGAAGGTAGGAGAAGCTCCTCCCACAAGCATGAGGCGCCCGTTTGAAATCCCTCCACAGTCGAAAGAAGAGTTCACTGGAAACACTCCTTGTTCTGCTTCAATGGACTCAAACTTGTCTCCGATCCCATTTTTTAAGAAAGCGACCTTTGTATTCATCGAAGGCGGAACAGAGCCCCTGAAAGCAGCCTCTGTATTCATCGGAGGGGGAACCTAATCCCCGAAAGTCGTATTTGTTTCCATCGAAGGAGGAAAACTAATCTCCCTCTTGTGGCTTCCACAATGCTAGGTCAAAGTCGAAAGATAAAGCATAAAGCAAATATGTACAGGAAGGTAAGACCCTCCTCGCACATTCGCCGTGACGTCACGGAAACGGTGGGACGCTATTGGATGCGGAGGGATATGATTCCCTTTGAGGGGCATTTGACGCTACCTTCTTGACCTATAACTTACTATAGTCGACTCCAACAAAAGGCAAACCATGCGCAGACGTTGCGCCGCTGCACATGACTGCACTCGTGGCTACACCTGCCTGTGCATGCCGCTTCTAGCATGAGCAGGCGAGCATGAGATAAATTCCATGACTCGGCAATTTTTTTCTGGAAATTTCCCCGACAATTCCTCGACATTTCCAGATGTCTTAAAATTTCCTGGCACTGCCCGGTTGGTAAACACCCTGTGCATAGTGTTTAGTTCAATGTTGCCACCCACTACTCCCATGCTTTCCTTCCTGGCTTTAAGCAGCCAACACTTGATACCAAATACGTCACTGTAGCATTTGTGCCACGCAAACGCCGCATCCTACAACCTTGCTCTTCATGGCGAAACAGAATTTGAACAGAAGACACTGGTGCCAATCAATGAAACAGAAACCTGTGAGCTCACCGGTTGTGCGGGAGTGGGAACACCAGCCCCGGGACGACGCACGGCCTCCGATGGAGGGACTGATCCACGCGACCTGCCGCGGGACCGGCCACGAGCTCGTCCGGTAGACTGGTCCTCCATCTAACTTGTTTTGCTGAAAGCAGCAAACATGGAGACACTAATTGCTGAAAAAGAGTCTTGAAAGGATGCAACTGATAAAGACATGCTATTTGTATACCAGCGGTATGCTTGGCAGGTGTGATATTCGTACTGGACAACTCTTCACTTCTGGCTTTTATGAAATCATTTTTCTCAAAGTGCTATTCTTCATTAGCAGCAAACTGGTGACTTAAGACATTGCTGCCCATGGCTCAGCCAGTACAGGTTTCTTATTTTATACCTCCTACTTAATCCTCTATGTATTGTTATTCAGTGATGTGATTGGCTTAAGCCATTTTGGAGCACCTTTCGGAGCAGCCAAAACAGTGTTTTGGAGCAGCAAAAGTGGCTTTTGGAGCAGCCAAGACAATGTTTCGGAGCGGAAAAAGTCGCTTTTGGAGCAGATGTTCTAATAAAAATAAAAATATTCCTTTTCAGTGCTGTATAAACGAAGGGCACTTTGTGTTGTGTTGTGTTGTGCTGTATTGTGTTCTCATGTGACTTGTTGTGACTGAACTCGCTACTTGTGGTTTTGATGAGACATCCCACAAGTGTACAGTGCTGTAGGCTGTGCCGAGCAATTCCGAAAAACCGCTTGTCACCGTTTTACTGGTTTCCGACGTGACAGATTTTCGTCAAAAGTAAGCAAACGTGTAACAATGGATTGCAAGCGTACTGGCTGGTGCCTCTGTCGTGCAATCATGTTCGCATGCACGTGAGGGCAACTTCTGCAGGCTTGCAGTTGCGCGTGCTTTGTCGCGCGAGCGGAGACAACGGCACTTCGATCGAAACCGAAACCATGCCACTCCGCTCCGTCGCCAACTGATTCCAAAAATTGTATGCAAAATGTAACTGTCGAACATATGCCAAAAAACAGTCCAGCGGCGCGTGCTTGCCAGGCTGGCAAACAAAATGCAAGCTAAAAAACACACACACACACACACACACACACACACACACACACACACACACACACACACACACACACACACACACACACACACACACACACACACACACACACACACACACACACACACACACACACACACACACACACACACACACACACACACACACACACACACACACACACACACACACTGCGGTACTTAGTTTCATTTTAGATAGTGCCATATCTGCAGGGACGTTGGGACGGCAGCACCCGACGTCGCGCGAACGCACTGACTGGAAGGCAAGGACCAAATATAGTTTTCCCATGGCCATTGCTTTCAGGAGCGAGTGCTTCAGTTCACAAAGTAACTCCCGCCGCGCAAAAACGTGGTTTCGTTTCACAGCATGACGGCATGGCTGGTACCCGGCACGCTAGCGTCGGAGCGCCCGCGCACACCCACGTCTATCGTTGAAAATAGATTTTGTGGTTCTCCTTAGGGCCACTGCCTTTGGTAGTACCACGTTCGCAGCGAGACGCTCTACCGCGAAGCGGGTTCGTACTCGCGTGGCATGCTGCTCGTTGTGCGCAAACAGACACCAGTCACGTTGGTAACGGTGATAAACTGTTTATTTACAATGAAACAAAATAACAACACAGCGGCTATAAGCTGGTGAACGCCGTCGGTGTGGAGATCGCCCACGGCCGAACGGTCGCTCACAAAGGTACAAAGTACGGGGTAAACGCTCACCGGTGCGCCGGAAGGGTCCCCGTTGTCGCCGCCGCCGAATCCCAGGAAGAAGAGACCAGCGAGACTGCTGTCCGCTGGTTTTAAGATAACGGCGGGGGCGAAGTGGCCAATCAAGGAGCGACACGTCGATCTCCTTTGTGCGGGGGTTCGTCACGGAAATCGCCCCAAGGGGGAGAGGAGGAAGCCACTCACAGTGGTAAGCAGCGCCACCTCTCGCTACGTCGGCGCGGCCGCCACGGCGTGCCAAAACGCTGACGCGACAGAATGTTGAGGGATCACAATCCCCACACTCCCCCCTCCTTAGCCAATAGTCACCCGCAAACGGGTGGACCAACACAAACACACAAGACTAAAATAATAAAAAAAAAGAAAAAGGCCACCAGCGGCTGCAACTACACGGGAAACAACAGCCCGGCTCATACGTCCAAGGTCCAAGAAGTTCGTCCAGCGGTAGCTCACCAGCGGCACAGCTCCCAGCGGCAGTCGGTCGGCTGCGTCATCCCGTGACCGCCGCGCACGTGGCGGGTCACCTCCTGAGCGCCCAGGCCGGGGTAGGGCGTCGAGCCCAAAGTGACGAAGTCCCACAGCAGTATACCGCCGAACGCGCAGACGTCGGACTTGAAGGGCGCCCTTGGCCTTTTGGTGGTAGACGTCCCTCTTGGGGTCCCAGTGCTCCTGGAGAGGCCGAAATCGGCGACCTTGTAGCAGCCGTGTTCGTCGACGAGCACGTTCCGGGTGGCCAAGTCCCGGTGGATTATCCCTCGGTTGCCGATGTAGCGCGTGCCTTACGAGCCCTGCTGGGCGAACTGCGCCAGGTCCCTGGGCCCTTGGGACTTGTTACGGGACGAACGGGAACAGCTGGTCCCTGGTTGGCGAGCTTTCCGACCGCGGCAGGGGTCCCGAAGATGATGAGCCGGCAGTCCCTGGCCGGATGTCGATCCCGACGGCACACGAAAACGACGGGCTGCTAGTTTGGCCCGCGGCCGGCTGGGGTAGCGAGCCGCCTGACGAGTCACGTCCAGCTCTGGTCCCTGGACGCAGCTGAACTGCCGCAGCCAGGAGACAGCAGCTCACGAACGGCGCGAAGCAAAGCCTGGAGGTCCTCTTCGTAGGTGCGGAACGTACTGCGGTAGAATGACCACTTGGTCTCCGACCGCTTGTAACGACGCTCGCACCGCGCTCTTGCGTTGACATGTGGCACACGTCAGCGTAGGTGGCAATAACTGACCAATGGCAGTTACGCGTACCCTTTCCCTCGGAAGCCGTGTTTGGGGGATTCCCCTACGGGTTCATCCGGGAGCGAACGCTGAGGTGACGTATCTAGGTCACTGCTTGCCAGTTAACAATGGGCGCGTTCAGTAGCGCCTCCCTTGCCTCCGAACGGAGTGCCTCGAGTCGGAGTCATCGGAGCGCCTACTGAACGGCAAAAAAACCCGCGGCTCCAAACCTGCTTCTACGCAACTTCCGCTTCCTCCCCTGTGCCAGACGGTCTCCAAATAAACTGGAAGCAGACGATGGCGAGCACGATCGCTTTTATTTGACGCCGGTATTGAAGAAGTCTTTACAAGGTCGTTGAAGAAAAAGCGGGTGATTGTACACATCAGCGCTGCTGTTCGAAGCGATGCAACGCGATCGAGCCCTTCGCTTGGCGGTGCAAAGGCAGCTACTGTTATAAAAGCCGACAAAAATCGTCGTCAGTACACGCGGAATACCGAGCTCAGCGAATCTACCCCGCCGGTTGCGATACTTTTATACGGCCATAAGTTTGTTCTGCCCTTCGTAACGAACTTCCTATAAAATGTATTTGTATACAGACGGGAAGTTCGGCCGCGCTCGACGATCAAGGTTTTGTCGGCCGAAGCGAGGCTCAGCCAACGTGCACCCAGATTTAGCTACGCAAACAAAACATTAATCGGTATCATGCTCTGCGTGAGTGTCCAACCGGCTTCCAAAGTCGCGTTCATACCCTGTTTTTCTCTGTTGAGCGCGGACAGGACTATCGTCAATATTACCGAGTTTCCGTGCAACGGCGATCAAGAGACGGCGCGTCAAATGAACGTTTGCGTTGTTTATTAGCACATTCAAACCAAACCAAATACGGTCCAATGCATTTTCCGAAAGAGCCTTACCTGAAAAAGATATTCGAACGCGTTATTCGTCTTACCTTGAGCACTTTTCATTAACAAAAGCGAGCAAACCGCGCACCCGCGACAGAACCGAAGCAGCTTATCCCGCCATATTGTTTGTTTTTTACTCTTTTAGCACCGGAAATCGTCACCAGTCAGGAACTGACGTCATTTTAGCTCCTTTGACTCTACGTGCACCGTCTCCGGACTCGGTGCTTCGGAGCTTGACTCCGAAGCCCCGGAGTTACGTGCACCGGAAGTGACTTTTGGCCGTCCAGTGGAAGGAGTCAGTGACTCCTTGACTCCGGGGCCGCTACTGAACGCGCCCAATGGTGTCTGGCGCGTTCGCGAAGGCAGCAGGTGCATTGTGTGTAGCACTTCCCTTAATGTGACATTTCGCCACTTACAGGGGCTGCCTCTACGAAAACTTCGGATAATAGTTCCTCCGTCTCCGCAGATTGTAGCGAGACGACTGTTGTTCGCTGCTGGCGTCGTCTCGCGCTGTGTGTGCATGTTTCTGCGGGGGCTGAGTTTGCTCGTTGGCCCCGTTTTCCCTCTCATGGTAGGGTTTCAGATCGCACACATGTACAGGCCCACCGACTTTTCTTGATTGCAAGTTTGTCAGCTTGTACACGAGTGGGGAGAGAAGTTCCTGCACTCGGTACGGGCCACACCACTTCGGAGCCAAAGCGGCCGAGAAGCCTTTGCTGGCATCACTCAGAACATGGTTGCGTCTGAGGACGAGATCGCCCACTTTGTAGCGGAGGTCTCGATGCGAGCGGTCGTACTGAGCTTTTTGTTTCGCTCGCGCTACCCCGAGATTGCGACGCGCCTCCGAGAAGGCTTCCGTCATCCGAGTTTGTAGCTGCCGCGCGTGGTCCGTTTGCGTCGGCTGCGCGTTGTCCACCCCGGCACTCGTCCCTAGGACACGGTCCATGGGGTTCGGAAGCTCTCTCCCGAATGTGAGGAAAGCGGGGGTGAAGCCCGTCGAACGGTTGAGAGTGGTCCGAAGTGCGAACCCGATCTCGGGGATATATGCGTCCCAGTCACGGTGCCTTTCCGCGAAGGCGGCCAGCATTGGTTTGATGTTTCTGTTACATCGCTCCGTGATGTTCGACTGCGGGTGGTACGGCGTGGTTGTTCTGTGCTTTATGCCAAGGGCCTTGCACGCGTCCACGAATACCTTCCCGACGAAGTAGCTCGCTCGATCAGTCAAAAGAGCTTCG